ACCAGTTTTTGATAAAAGTTGATTTATTTAAATTCGGTTAAGTCGGCACTTCCCATGAACCGGTACTTCGTGAAAAAAAACCTTGAATCTATGCGTCACTATTATCAAACCAATTGTATGTATATTGGTACTTCAAATAGGGTTGTTCACTTACTTTGTTTAAATAAATAAAATGTTATTAAACATATTATATTAAATGTTATTCAATAAAAATATAACAGAACATGAAAAGACATATATTTCTGCAAGACTCCACGGATGGCGTAGTAGTTTAAAAGCGGTCGCCACGCCGGTTACTACTACGCTGAGTGTTATGGGTCCGACCCCCACATGGTACGAGACTTTGTGTGATCCAGAAATTATTGTTCTGAGTCTGGGTGTTCTTTGTGTCAGTTTGATAGTATGTTTGTAAAGTCCCCCGCGAAACAGGACAGTCCTAATTCGGGAGTTGTCTTTTCTAAACATAAAAAAAAATTGAGATTTTATTTAAGTGATTGTTGTTTAATTTTTAAGGTTATTTACATTTTAGAATTTATTTCACAAAAAAAATTAAACCAAATCAATCACATTTAAATTTACATCATTTAAAAAATTTAGATCAATACTTTCAAAATTGGTAGGATTTTAAATAATTATTTATTTATATTATTTTATTAATTTAATTAATCAATTTAATTATGTATTTAAATAATATCTATAGACTGGCAACCCTGACGTGATATGCTGCGGCAATGAAAATTAAGAATCAATTTCAAGCGATCCATTACGTTATTATTTAAGGCCACAATATTATGTTTAACGAATTGAAATTCACGTTTTTGTATTTTTACATTCTGATATATGCAACAATTATATAACAATTAGTTATCAATGTCACTCTAACAAAGGTAAAGACGCGGGAATCCCCGTTGATGTATTTTTACTAAAGTAATTTTTTATTTTTTAAAACAAGTAAATCAGTAAATGGTTTTCGGTTCACAAGCTTATTGTATCATCCTATCATAGAACTTGAAGTAACCGACTCCTGATCGTTTCTTGTATTTTTTAATTTCCAACTCATCCAATTTACTTCTGATTAATTTCGTTGCGGGTTCTAAGACAGTTTTCCTGGGACTTCCCGAGTATCATTACTCGGTATGTTCCTGGGGCATTGCTGTTGATTCCGTTCTACAGGAGTAACAGTGGTGGGCGTATGGGGGGGATTTGTCCTGTTCGTTTGTTCCGAAACCGGGCACTCGAATTCGATCAAAAATCCCTGCTTTTGCTAATTTAACCAATTATATTGAGTTCAATCAGAACAGCTCTTCTTTTCTATATTTTTAGCTTAAATAATAAAGCGTTATTGATAAGTAACAGTGCCACGCGAAAACACTGACCCTGTGAAGAACAAGCAGTTTTCCTTATTTGAAAATTAGAACTACGAACAACGGTAGTTTTTCATAACAGAACTTCATACAGTGTTCACATGGATTATGGGGACTTCAATATATTTACTTATAAAAGCTGATGAAACAAACGTAGGTACTTGCTTAAAAATTAAGCACGAACAACAACAGTACCTTAGAAAATAACTGAATACACTGTTCAATGGTTATTAAGCTACAATGATTACACACAAGAGAACGTAGTTTCAAGTGATACCACGCCATTTATTAAACATTAGTTAGTCTGGGATATCCTCAGCACCGCGAATACTATTAGAGAATGTAGATACGGCAAATATACGGTTTACTGCTTTTAACAGAGTTTTATTAATAAATATGTGTTATTAAACCCGTTTCAAAGAAATATTAAGCTTTAAGGATAATAGTGACTTTTCTCACGTACATAACGAAGTAATTATGTGGTTTACCTCCAATGGTTGCATAGAATTTTTTATTTGTTGTTACACATACAAAGATAAGCATATGTATTGTATAAGTATTTGCTAATCACATATTAGAAAACAAAAATGGGACCTTTTTTAAAGGTATTACTTTATCTAAACGATTATAAAGAAAAATAGTACGCCAAACATTAAGAAAAATTGGTCTTAAATGAGAGAACTATACTAGAAGCTGTAAGGACAATGGTTTATAAACGCCGTTGCTGAGTGACGTTGCATTCAGTTTTTCTTGCAGGATTCTCTGATAAGTCGCGTTACGAACCTGCATAGCTATAGTATTAGTCTGGTGACGGTAGACTGGTATATGTTAGGCTTTACAATAGGAATATAATGTATTTTTGTGACCCTTATGACTGAAAGGCTGAATTTCAATTTGGAACTTCATAAGACTTTTGAGATCTTCTAGTGCATTTCTTAGCATGTCTTTGGTTATTGTTTTATATTTATGGTTTTAGCACAATGCTTTTAATGAAATGTTTTCAGGTATAAACACTTTATATGAGTAGTTTCGAAGTAGGGTATTTAAACTGCTTATGCTTTAGAATAGAGCAGTGGGTTCTTTATATAGGACTACTTTTACACGTACTACCTCAATCGGTAATGCCATAAATCGCTGTAGATTGACATAAAGTTTGAGAAATTATATTTTCTTGGTCTCTTAAATTTATATATTTTTTAGAAAATACTTGTAAGTTTGCATGTTCTAGATCTGAGATTATTTATATGTATGATCTAATTCAAATTTTTATCCATAACCCAATGTCGATGTTAATAATTATTATTCGTTGCAGACGAGATGTATCAATCGTGTATATGTATCAATTACTCTGTACTAATTTTTAACCTTTCTTGCTTTATGTAATTATGTTCATTCACGAGAACCAGCCATCACATAACAGATATCACTTGCCATTTGCAGCAGCTATCAGTGTGGTGACGGATTAAGAATAGGAGTCGCCACCCCTATTCTTACCATGGGTGCCGTAAGAGCCGACTAAAGAGCAAACTATGAGCAAACTATGAAGGAAAACTTGAAACAAACCCTTTTTTTTTTTTTTTAACATGTGGAAATTCCCTCGGACCGTCACCCCACCGGGGTTTGCGGCGGGGTGGTGTGTCGGACTCGGACCGACTAAAACCACACGGTGTGCCACTCTGCGCCTGTAACAGGAGGGATCCGGGAACAGCTGTTATTAAGGAGGGACCCCTCCTAGCGCCGGCCCGCTCCAGTTGCGGGCTCCGTCTCAAAATTTTCCTCTCTTTAGGCGACGTCCGGCACACGCGGACGCCGCCCCCTCGCGGCTGGCCAAACTAATGCGGGTGGAGGGGAAACCCACCCCGTCCACCCACACTCAGGGCGGCATGAGGCGATGATAAGCGCGCCTCCGCCGCCCGGTTAGCCGGCGGCGGATCGGGTCCGAGTGGAGGTCGTCCTCCCGGGCCTTCTCCGCCGCCTCTTTCTGCGAGACTTGAAACAAACCCTATACCAACCCGTCTGGCTAGCGCGGTATTGTAGGCGAAAACCTTCTTTCTAAGGAGAGGCCAATGTGCAGCAGTAGACTTCTAAAGGTTGTTGATGATGATGATGATGATGCAGGTTCAATGTTAGGCAATTAAAAGATATGTGATCACGGATTAACCTTGAATATGAAATCCATACGTATGTTATGGTACTTATACTAAACGTTGTACATTTTATTTAATTTATATTCAATGTTAGTTAATTGTGGTCAGGCCAGTTTGTAAAATTTTAGAACCTTGTACGTTATGACTATTGGAATATACTTACACAGAAGCCACAATGCTTGTTATACTTTTTGTATTAAGTATTCCATATAATAAAAAAATACATCTACCCAAACTGTTTTCTGACTTTTAATATTTGCATCCTGATATTAGGAAAATCTACTGACAATAAATACTCGAAAATGATGCGTTGAAGCACTGAAGGCTACCTACCTACTATGTGCGAGATATCAATCAATTAACACGATGGCTTTGAGATTAAAAATATTATGATCATAATGATCTACTGACTGTTATTAGCCAAACTATCTGTTATTAAGCTATAAAATAATTGTATCCCTGTTGTTTTTCAATAAATAAATAAATAAAAATAAATGCTATCAGTATTTTTGAGAGAATATACCTATGTGTACATACACTTTATGTATTTTCTTAACATTTTTATCTATAAATAATAATATAGGTAAGAACTGAAAAATATGCAATTAAATATATTTTTAGCCGCTTCAAAGAAAGAAGTCAAGTAGTTTATTTCCTCAGAACTTAGTCATTTATGAACCGTCTTGGAAACGGAGACCTGAAGAGTGCCCTACCCTTTTGGTCTCATTCAAATTGTACAATAAAAACGGGTGGTATTATGTATTTTTTTAAGGGTGGAAAGGGAGACACATGCTTTAATAAAAGTACATACAACTATAATCTATACTAATATTATAAAGAGGTGAATTTTGTGAGTTTGTATTACTCCAAATCCTATTTTTCTTCTCTTCAAATCCTTTTATAAAAATTCTTTCACACACACTGTAAGGATGGTATACTCGTATTATCCCTAAGTGACATACAAAAACTGGTATGTTATGAAGGCACAGTAAATCGCAAAACAGTTTTCCCATCACTGCAGAGTTTCCCCCTGTCCAACAACATTGCACACCACGGGATTGACGAGAAAAAAAAATAACTACCTATGTCTACCTATGATATTAAAACTTTAACAAAAAATCTAATAAAACCTGAATAATCTAATCGTTTCTTTATTACATCGATTATCTATACAATTTCAAGATAGATCCTGTCTGCTGTCTAAATTAATACATAACTTATTTGTAAATCTGGTCCTGATATTAACAATTTCAAAATTAAAATAACTACCAAAACACACTGTAGACATATTTTCGAACGGGTACATAAATATAAATTGACAGTGACAACTAATTCACGCGTTTGTGACTCCCGAGTTGCAAACGTTCACGGGCGGCAATAGTCACTTTCCATCAGGTGACCCGTCTGATCGTCTGCCCCCTCTTACATTAAAAAAACAAAAACCTATTAAATTTATATTCGAAATGATTTTGGAGCAAAATCCACTTACCTTTTAACTTTGAATCCGCATATTCGAAGGGTCCAATCTCATCGAATAGACCCGCAAGACTGGAGGCGCCAGGACCTCCTTGCAACCACAGTATCCACGGAGTGTCAGGCCGATGGTTCTCCGCTTCGATATACCAAAAGAAAAGATTTGAATTGTGTTTCTCATCGACAGTTAAGTAGCCAGAATATGTGGTTCTGTTTAAGAAGAGAGTGGGGTTTACAGCTGACAGTTTCCTCGCTTGATCAGTTAAATTCTTCTCAATAAGTCGTGTGAGAATCAATGCCGGTGTGCTCGCCAAAATTGATGTTAAGCTGCAAAAAAATAAATTGTTGATAATTCGCCAATCGAGTTCAAGAATTTGAAGTCAAAATCGCCCTTCGAATTTCCCATAAGTTAACAAACAAAAATATCAAAAAAAAACAAGCTTTGAGTCTCTATAGCCTGGTTGTTGTCGTGAACTCTCTGAATAGTGAACAATTGCCCTAAATTGTTACCTACATAAGTGTAAAGTTATGACAAACATGATTTAATTATTGAATCTTGAATCATAGACCTATGTATAGAGATAGTAGATTGTGAGGCATCAGGCCACTAATATCAGATGGCGCCGAGTTAGGGATGAGCGAATTAAATGAAGTGCCTCAAAATCAAAATGTTGTGTCTCAAGAGGCGTCTCTGGGAATAAGTATGGCGAGAAAAATATATAATATATTACGAACATTTAGCTGTAAAAAAAAACACATTGGATTCCGCACAACTTGAGAATTGACCAAAACCGGGCTCGTTTCGATTAGTATAAAAAGATGTTACAGAAGTACAATCACAGTGCGTCAAAAGCTGTCTATAATATCTGCACAGGTGATGAATTTTGGATATATGCGTATGATTCTGAAACTAAACAACAATCAACGGTTTGGGTGTTCCAAGATGAGCCGAATCCATCAAAAGTCATTCGTCCAAAAATTCTTACTTGTTTTTTTGTATAAATGGACATTTGGCTACAGTGCCACTTCAAGATCGTTATACGACCATTTGTTTGCCAGAAGTCTTTGAGTAAATAAGAAAGAATAACCGACTACGCAGAATCTTTCTTCATCATGACAATGTTAGCTGCCACACATCGCCCGAAACAAGTCAGTATTTGGAAGATCAAAGGATCGAATTAACGGGTCATTCGCCGCACAATCCTGACTTGGCTCTGAACGACTTCTATTTATACCCAACCGTGAAGAATAAATTACGTGGTCAACGTTATTCGAGGAGTGAAGAGGCTGTTGATGCGTTCAAAATGCACGTTTTGAAGATACCACAATCAGAATAGAAAAAGTGCTACGAAAATTGGTTCCAACGTATGCAAAAGTGCATCGATCATCACGGCGAATATTTTGAAAAGCAATAAAACTATAATAAATGCTATATGTTTGTTTAACTTTGTTATTCCGGATACATAAATAGCAGCCCTCGTACGTACTTAAAATTGAATTTATTAAGTAATTTTAATTTCACACAAAATCTGTCTCTAAGGGCCAGCGCCGACCGAGAGGAGCGCAACGGAGAGGATTTTTTAAGGCACTCGAAAATAAGCTTTAAATCTATTACTATAAAGTGCATACACATAGTCCAAGGCAAGCATTTTTTTTAAGTTCAAACATGTATGCACTTTTTTTAACTAATTTCAAAGTTTATTTTCGAGTGTCTTGAGAAAATGCTCTCCGCTATGCTCCTAATTAGGTATTGTCACTCTCTCACGTCACTGTTGAGTAGTCAAGAAATGTCTTTGATAACACAGCCTATCAAGCAGGTCGGTTACTACCGTGAACGAAACGCAACCTTAACCTATGTTAAATAAGCTTGTGACTTAAAAGACAAGATGGGCAGGATTTTGGTGTACGACCAATGCTGTAAAATTGTAGTTTAATTATCGTTCATAATATAGGTATTTACACCGTCCGTACACAGGGATTACGTGCGCTCGTAATTGTAATTTTATTGTAAAACTATTACGTCGTGTTTATATTTCCTGGGTCGAAATTTAAACATTGCCAGATGATTGTAATGGAAACGATTCCCAATTTTCAATTGGTACCTACGTAATGCCATTAAACATAGTAGTACTACATTAAGAAAAGTTTTAAGTACTATTTTTGGACTAGATGTGTATAACTGTGAGAAACATTTTAAATGTTATTAACATTTAAAATGTTTCTCACAGTTATTAAAATGTAAGTTTTTTACGTTCTTTTATTTTAACAAGCTTTAAATAACTATCATTCAGTTAATAAAAGTGGCTATATAAATAGATATTTTATATTATTATTATTATTTCATCATGACTGGCCTATTGGTCTAGTGGTTAGTGACCCTGACTGCTACGCCAGAGGTCGTGGGTTCGATTCCCACCTAGGACAAAGAATTGTGTGATTTGCCGTGCTCATCACACAATTCTTCTCCTGCTACAAAAATACCCGTTATGACAGTTGTGAGATCGAAAGTTGATCGGAGCTGAATTGAGAACGAATTTTTATTACGAGAATTGGCCTTCTAGTCATTACTAACTATTAATTTTAGACAAAATAAAAAAAATAACTTCACTCATCTCACACACGGCAGTCTGCTCCCAAACTAGGCAGTGGCTGTACTATGGTAACCAACCTGCTAATAAATATACTTAAATATTTCTAAATACATACATATTTTACTCGTAGATAAATTACACCCAGACACGGATCAAATGATCGTGCTCATCACGCAATATTTGTTCTGAGTGGGAATCGAACCTATGATCTCCCGCTTAGCAGTCAGGGTCACTAACCAATAAACCCAGCCGTCAAGAAATAGATGGTATGAAATCTCAAAAATTTGTAAGCTATTTCTAAATGGCTATCACAAGAAAACTACCATTTTCCCACATAATTAAATTGTACTTATTTTGCCGTTAACAACGTCAGGACAACTTTTGTTATGAAGTTCAAATGCTTGGAAAGGATAGAACGAGATGGAACTGATAACGCATAATCATGACATTAATATGCTAATATAGATATACATAGATATACAGACTTACCATCACATACCCCGTATATGCTACTATAACTAGATAGATAGACCGTTTTGCAGGTCAAATAAGTAACAGCTACCCTATAAAACTGACTAAAACAATGAAAAAATATTTTATATCGTTAAATCATTATTGTAAAAGGAAAACCGAAATTAAAATGTCCACAATCCATTCACCGAATTTATAAATTTAAAACCTTAAACAGTTTACTGAAAATGGGTTATAGATTATTACTTATTCCAAAATTACAACATTATAATATGTGTTGCCGGTTTTTCCTTTGTCTCCTATTCCTTTATCTCTAATATTATACGAGTAAAACAATATGTTATGTTGTATTTGCCAATCTATTTGTTTGGGTGTTTATCATTTGAGAAGTTTAACTGCACTAAACATGCCTTATAATTTAGCATTCAAGTAGAGCACCCTACCTATTCTACCTAAAGCTTAATCATAAGCTTAATCATACAACATAATTATCGTGTACTTTCGTTGTTAATTTGCACGAATATTAATTGGATAGTGTCTAGTACATTAACGACAATAATAAAACCTTTCTCACAAATCAAGTTAAAAAGCGTATAACGAAATAGCCAATAAATTTAAGCGTATTTATTACAGTAATATTATGATCGTAACAAATCACAGTTAACCAAGGGCCATTTTCCTGCAACAGGTTCTTAGTTGCCACTCATTTATATTTATTACACGATAGAATATAACTTAAGCTTTCAATAAACGTCCAAAGGAGGAACATCGTAGACAATAGGACTTATCAGTTGTGGAATACAATAAATATTAATATTTCTACTTCCGCGGTAAAGGTAGAAAACGATAACGTACCTACATGAGCTTTATTAAACACATCACATAAATATATGTATATAATATATATATCATATTTAAAGTATGCTTAATATTGTTGTAAATGCCTCAAACTCGTTTAATTGCTTGTGGTGAAATAAAAGAGTAATTTGATGAGCAATGATAGCGTGAGCTTTAAACGAATAGCAATTGAAATTTCAATTGAGAATGTAATAAATTGCGCATGTCTCGGTCGTTTACTAAACTATTATATTAAAAAGGAATGGAACTTTCAAACCCAGATAAAATTAAAATTATTGTATCTTTTAAGCCTAAAAGAGACGGTGTCCTAAGCCTATTTTATTTAAGTAAATTCTTCTTTAGTTAAGGTTTTGGGAACGATTTCCTCTGCCCATTTGTTTTAGAAAGAAAAAAATCTTGAAATATACGCTTAGTCACAACTACCAATATTTATTAAACGTAACAAAATTTTCACACTTTAGAGACTAGACTTTGTTCAGAAGTTTCGATAATGAATGTATGTGTAATAGGGACTTCCCTAATCTCAGCGAAAATTACCTATGTATATAAATCTTTTTTTTGTAACTTTCGATAGTTAAGAATATATGTAATCTTATAAATATCTATGATAATAATAATAATATTTTCACACATCTTGCACACGGCCGTCTGATCCCAAACTAGGCAGAGCCTGTACTATGGTAACCAGACTGCTGATAAACATACTTATATATTTCTAAATAAATATATATTTTTGATAAAGTACACCCAGACACAGAACAAATCGAAAGAACACAGATCGAAAGTTGATCGGAATAGAATTGGGACAGAACTTTTATTGCGAAAATTGGCCTTCTGATTCAAGTTTTTTTGACAACGTCAATCAAAGTCGTAATAAATTCCTAATATTTATCTTTTAAAGTTATTACTTCAAGCAATTTAATACTGGATATCGGTTATAATAAAACAAGAAATACCTATCTTGTTTCTTAATTTATTATTTTTCCTATTAGTATCAGAACTTTTGTCCACCGACTCCTTTTGCAATATTACCCACATATTTTTCATTCGTAACTCATTTCAATAACTATTTGAAAACGAATAATATAAACTTATGTCATAAATTAGGTTGTATTTTAAAATATCTACTAACTTACAGCAAAATTGCTCTGTTAAATTGCCCAAAAGTTTGCAACAGTATCAAGAAACTGGTTTCTCAATAAAAATATTAAGGTTCCGGCAACATATATGTATATTAAAAAGGTAAGTCACGACATTAATGGATTGGTGACAGCCAAACGCTTAGGTATTGCATATTGCAAGGCTTGTCGGAAATAAAAATAAGAAACGAATACACATTTTATTATTATAGTCTTAATCATAGTATAGTATATTATAGTATTAATCATTGACTGCACGGGTAGTGGTTTGAGCGGTCACCTCGCCACTTCCTACTGCGCTGAATGTCGTGGATTCGATCCCGACATGGGACAATCCTTTGTGTGATCCACAAATTGTTGTTCAGAGTCTGGATGTCATTTGTGTCCCTTCAAGAATTTAGTAAAGTCCAACGCGACGCAGGATATATTCCTACTGCGGAAGTTGTCAAAAGCAAATAGAAAATTAATTTATTAACGGGCAATTGCAGTTCCAGTTTCACGTATGCGACTCTGATCTACTCTAGGTATTTTAGCCTACAATCCCCAGTCCATTCATCTAAGCAATATTTCTTGCTACCATTTAACACGCCTTCATTTACCCCTTCGAGGCTATAGTCAGTGTATGTATATTGTTGTATGTACGAGTATTGTATCGAAGGATTTTTTAGAGTCACAGATTTCACTCACTTACTTCTTAATATATTAAGTAAGTAATGAAATATATATAACGGTTCGCTACATACAAAAACTTATACATACTCATATACAACACAACACATCATAAATACATACATATACAATCATACACATACATTTATATTTAATTATATTAATATAGATATATAGACATATTATATTCGCACACTATGAATACCGGAATATGAGGTATACTATCGATTAGATAGTTCTGTCATTTCGTTAAGAAGGAGATCATGCACCTTCTTTTTAAAAATACGGTGGTTTGTGGACATCCTGACTTCGAGCGGGAGCGCATTCCAGAGTAGTACTGCTTGAACATGCCCATGTTTGTCGGTATTTGCGTCTAGTAGTCATTATCTTGTGTTGATGAGCTGGTGATGGAAGGTACAACTCCTAAACGGTTAGGAGTGGGAGGATAGTTCTTTAAATACCATGTGTATGTTTAGACTTTTAGTTGTATTCTTTCAAGTCATTCAGATGAGCTGATGATGGAAAGTAAAACTCCTTAGGAGTTAGATAATACTCGTAGTAACCTGTAATATACAGGAAAGAAAAGACATGCAAAGCTGAGGGTTGGATTAGTTGTTTTTTTTTTTGGCTTTGTGTGGATTTAGGTAGCAAAGAGCAACACCACCAAAACATTACCTTTTCGAATTTTAGAGTAGTTCTCTGGAGTTTATGCACCGTGACCGCCTTAATGAGGATTAGCAGCCTGATAGGTCTATCAGGCAACTTGAACCAGGCCTTTATGTACAGAAATGATGCGTCTCAACATAACTCTCGCGCGTATTTCTATGTTTCACGTACGTGCGTACATCAAACCACCACAGTTATTGACATCAGCAGGAATAACATTTGTAGGGTGGCGTTTTTCGTGGGTTGCTACCTCTCGCGACTAATATGAACTAGTTCAACCTACTTCGTACCTATGATTATTTACACTTAAAAAGAAAAAAATAAACAATTTTATAAAAAAACAATTGAACCGACTTAAAAAACATCAAACAAAAACTCCCTACCTAAAAAAACTAAAAAGCGAAAAATAAACTGGATTATTTACATTAATAAAAAACGTACTAGTTTTTCTAACTAATTAAATCAAAAACTGCACCTAGTAACTATATCTTACCTATTCTCAATAAAATTCTAAATGAGCCTATTTACAATATTATTTTACAAAGCAATCAAGCTATATGTATTTACAAATTTATAATGATTTATTTACAAAATTACAATGTGACAATTCTGTTCTAAACCTAATTATCTATTAATTTAAATAAAATATTATTATAATGTGTTCTAGGTACCTAAAATCTGTTTGAAGTCGGTGCCAAGCCAAAAATAACACGAATAATAATATTTAGTAATATAATATTATACAGGTTTTTTTTAGGTTTTAATTTAGAACAGTAACCATTTACGCGCGAAGGCGAGCGTACCGTGGCAGCGGCCGCTGATCGCCAGATCCTTCTGAATGATACTATGGTGTGTTATTTAAACATTAAATCAAAATCAGATCAAGTTCTAAATTATGTATAACTTTGTTTAACATAATATGTTGTATAACATTAGTCAACTGAATTAAAAAATATATTGAAAAAAATAATTAAAATCTCGAGGACATCCATAGACCTTCTCCTTTGATGATTCTATTGTACCTACTAGTAAAAATATCGATATATGGTTGGCGAGTATGAAGTAGCTCATGATAGCCTTCTTTCGTCATTTATATTCTCCACTTACTTAGGTATAATATTTTGGCCTAAAGTAAAAAACAATAAAACTACCTTATTCTCTTTTTTCCCTGAGTAGTGTCAAATGAAACTACACGCCTGACATTGTAATAAGTAGTCAGGAACTAGATATCCCATTAACTATATCTGTATTATACAGAGATTTGCATATTATCAGCATTCATTTGAAACTTGACATTGAAATCTGCCGTAGTGCAATACATAAATTACCTATCACCTTAACAATCATTTTTATATTTTGTAAACGTTTAATTTAAAATGTCTAAGAAGCCCATTATCAACTTCGTTATCACATCGTACACAATTTACTTGATTAAGTATGTAATTCATACCTTACCTGATAATTAAGAACAATCCAATGAACACTTGCATTTTAAACACAAATAACTTGCTATATCATATATAAAAACGTATATAAATTCTATGAAATGTTTCAATTGTACGTTTAGGAACTTTGAGAGCTGCGAAGGCATGCGCGCTTCGCTCGAGCACGAGAACCGGACTGAGAGGCTTGAACAACAACTACCAATTAGAATTCAATCTATTTGACCATCTGATGTTCTGATGCAGAAGGTCTGATGGCAGTATCCTGATTAAAAAAAAACTCGCAACCTACAATTAATATCCATCAAATTAGTTAAATTACCTATACTATGAAAAAGTGGGTTTGAAGACTTTATATAACAAAATGTTTGTTAGGTACATCCATGCAGAAGGCAAGATGAACAAAAGTTGTTTATGATAATGATATTTCATGATGTTTGTTTATTCATTTGTTAATTTTTAAACAATATAATAATTGTGTTGAAATTAATATAAAATAATACCTATCACAAAAAGTTAATTAATAACAAAAATCCAAAATTAAAAAATGTAATATAAGTACGTACCTCGTTACTAGTTTTTTTTTTTGTACTCCATTTTCAAAAATTTACAATCGGAAGCCATACGGCATTATTTTTTTATCTGTGCGTATGTCGATCTTTTTACTAGTGGTTAGTCAAATCATCAAAGGAGAAGGTCTATATCCGTTGAAATTTTTCAAATTCAATCAAAACCATCAAAAGTACACGAAGTACACACGAGAGTAAAGCCAGATGTATCTCTTTACTACATTATAACATATGTAGTTAAAACATCACAAATACAAAAATATTGTTAATCTTTAGTTATACCTATTAAAAATATGAGTTTTGTCATCACATCATTGATTTTTGTCACCACTCGGTATGGTCCATCCCATTTGGCTTGTAGATTCGGCGATCTTCCTTTACTGGATTATGCAGCCATGCTAATGAATTCTCTTCGAAGCCCTTATTGTTCACTTGCCGCTCATAACGGGTTTTCATCTTCTCAGACGTTTGTTGACCCGATTGTCTGACATGCTCATAAATGTCATTCATCTTTTTGCGCAAATCTTGAGTACCACTTCAAAACGCTTACGCTTATTTATCTGCAACTGTTGAAGCCCCTTGGTTGGGAATGGCGAAGACTTCTGGCCACTTAGTGAAATAGTCCATTGCAACCATGAAGTACTTGTTTCCGCTTTTACTTCCAGGAAAAGGTCCCGCTACGTCTATTGCAATTCTTTCCCAGGGTGCACTAACGTTGCACAATTTCAATGCACCCCTGCTACGTGTATGGGATCTCTTCACGGCCGCACAAAAAGTCCTCAACATCTGTGAAGTTTGCGAAAAATTGCGAATCCGCATATTCGCAATGGATGTGAAAAAAAATCTTCTTAATCAAATGGAAGGAAAATAAGTTTACCAATAAGTACATAGGGGTAGTTAGTATTAAAGTTAGTGCCCGCTATTCTAAGGCATCGATGAGTGCCATATAATAAAGACTGATTTTTGATACTTAAGGCGTTAATAGCAACCGGCATTTGTCTGTCATCAAACACCAGGGTTTACGAAAAGATAGGCATCAAATAGAATAAATGTTGTTTATTTTTTCAAATAACACCCCAGCGCTGAGTTCTAATGGCCACATTGGGACTAGGTAGTAGATTTTTTATTACACGTAAACAATAATACAACATTAAAGGTAGACAGTCATCGAGTTGTTCTTAACAAACTCCTGAACGAAGGAGCCTTCGAGAAGCCCGTAGCGGACGCTTAGTGACTTGTCATGCGTCCACCTGGCCACGAGGTTCTGTACAGGAGCGGGCTTGTCTAGTGGCACCATGTGGCCAGCTCCTCGAAAGACAACTTCTGTAAAGTGACCTCCGCTTTTGTGATACCTGTAAAGAAAGGAATTTACATAAAACATATTTTTTTGTGTTGATGTCTTGAGGGCTGGTTGATTCCAATCACTTAGTGTTCTCTCCAAACGGTTCGGAAAGAAGGTTAAGTAATTTACGAGCCACGAGCCATTGCAGTCACAGTCCTGTTTCTCATCCGAGACTTACAGTATCCCTCGCTCTATACGATTTCGTTATAAACATTTACCTTTTTTCCTTGTCCCATCTAAAATTGATTACATCCCTAAGGAGAATTGCCGGTGGGGGCGCCGGTGGTCGCCTTTAAAAGAAACTGGCAAAGAAATTATTGTTACGTACGAAAGCATCTGATTGATCAGGGGGCGGGGCTTGATCGATGCGTCACTATTTCCTTAACTCGAATGGACCATAGTCTTTAAATGTACTGAAATGAAGTTTCTTGCTTAAGACGCATTATTGGTAGGTCCCTCGGAAATTGCCATATTATTAAATTAACTTCATTCTCTATTTTGTGTCCTTGTATTTTAGACTAACTAAGTATCATACATCATACAAAGGTAGAATTATAAGCAATAAATAATCCACTGATCGTACAAGTAGATACAGGCGTTAAGTACACGTACATAATTAATTTTTATACGTGGATATTTCCTTTAGGGGGCGTCCATTAATTACGTGAGGCGTTCAGGAGGGTGGAGGGGATCGAGCCGAATCTCATCTAATCTTACTTTGAGGAGAGGGGGGGCTCGGCAAATATCACGTAATGTTTTATAAGCAAGAAACAGATTAAAATGGCGAGAAAAATGGGTTACATTAAAAATAATAGAAATATGGCCAAGTCTTATTCAATAATATTTATCATGGTGTTGCGAGTGCCGCGAAGTTGCACAGTAGCAAGTTGTTTGTTTACGCCCCACCGCCAGCCTTAACACCGCCTTTACACTAAAAACACATTTATAAAAATCTGAGATTGGGGGATGGGGGAGGGGTTGAATCAAATCTCACGACATCTCACCAGGGGGTGGGGGGGGGGGGGTCAGAAAATGGCCGAAATTCCCTCACGTAATTAATGGACGCTCCCATACGAGCAAATACATGCATTATTATATTCCTGTTAATGACGGTAGCAATGAACTGCTGATTCCTAATCATATTCATATTCCTGCTGATATTTAATTTGTGGATAGTAATATATGTTTACATACATACATTTAATATATACTGTTTATTGTACTGTACATAATTAACCTTAAAAAAAGTATCAACGAAAGTATCGACGCATACATATCAATGACAAAAAATACATTCAGATTGAGAAATTCCTCTCTTTTAAAGCCGGTTCAAGATAAGTCAAACACATATATTTAAAGTAACTTTAAATGTTATAGGTACATAATCGTAGATTATTCATAGACAATTTAACAAATCACGAACATAATCTACAGTAAATAAAGCTATCAGATGGAGTCCCAGTTCTCAAGTATTTAAAAGTTAAAAGGAGACCCCCTGTTTATATAACAGAATGTAAAGAATCAATAAAGTTTATTAGTTATTATTAACTATCGAGTCCTACTAACAAAAATGGAAGAAGTGCATCTGTGTCTTACGGATAGGATTAACGACGTAAAATCTAAATTGCTTAACTGTGATTTTATATTATTGAAGTTTATTTAACTAAGGAGAAGTTATTACATTTTTAACGCATATTCACTGATTAGCAGTATCGCATCGACTAAATAAATAAATAAATATCAAATAGTCGGATGAATCTTTATAAATAGATAAACTTGTGTTTCATGTTTCTACAAAACATTTCAAGAACACAAGAAGTTATTTTTATCTCTGATGACTACTTAGAATGTAACTTATGCGAAGTTAATGCAAACAATATCCAGAATGAATGTCAATACTTTTACGCCATATTTTTCGTACAAAAATATCTTGCCTTGATCGAGTTTTAATTGTGAGAGAGAAATGCTTCTCCACAAATAAGCCAGTTCGACCGGATTGATTACGATTACACGGCCTAACAGAAAACCAGCATAAAGCAATTTTTTGTTGCTTTTTACAGACTAAATGAAGTGACCGGAGCCAAAACTGATCCCGCTGATTCTGCGGTTGACTCAAAGGGCGGCAACCCGGGTAATCTGTGGCGGCAACGCACTTAAAACACAATAAACACGTAGAAATGGCGGCCTCAAGCGTCCTATTTGCCTGTTATTACAGCATTGGTTAGCATCTACCTTGGCTTTATTAATGTGTCGAGTTTTTTAATGTATGCACACATTAACTTTTATATATTATTATATAAATGTTCTCGATCAGATAAGGACGTGAATCTTAACAGTTAGATCAGAACTGGATGGCGTAGTGGTTTAAGCGGTCACTCGGCCTACTGAGTGTCGTGGGTTCGATCCCCACATAGGACAATACTTTGTGTGATCCACAAATTGTTGTTCTGAGTCTAAATGTTCTTTGTGTCCGTATGATAATTTTTTTTGTGAAGTCCCCCAGGACACAGGACCTCCAGTGCGGGATGTCTTTAAAAAAAAAAAATTGCACTCCCAAAATAGAACGTATTTTTATGTAAATACTAGCTTTTGCCTGCGGCTCCGTCGCGTGTATGTCGGTTTTCGACGTAAGAAGTAACCAACGCCCTTTCTGAACAATCAAACTATCTCCATACCAAATTTCATCTAATTGTTATTGTTTTCCCATAAAAACTTCCACCTTCCTTTTTACCCCCTTAAAGGGTGATTTCTGGGATAAAAACCATCCTGTGTCCTTTCCCGGGACTCGAACTATCTCTATACCAAATTTCATCAAAATCGGTTCAGCGGTTTAGACATAAAATAACAGACAGATAGACCGACAGACACACTTTCGCATTTATAATATTAGTATGAATATCTTAAATTAAATTAATATTAAAATAAATAAATGCGCCTTTAGCGTTGCGATTGGTAGAGATTTCAGCGCAAGCCAATCGTAGCACCGAACGCAGTTACCGTGACGATCGAGTAGAAATGAAATAAACTCGCACTTGGCCCTCTGATGGTAAGTGACTAGCGCCGCCCATAAACAGACGCAACTCAAGATGCACAAAAGCGTTGCTGCCTTTAAAGTGCTGTTCCCCCAGAATTCTTAGAATTAGTGATTGGGCTCTTATATAAGCTGTAGCTTCCTTAACTCAGTGAAGACCAACGAACGAAATACCTAACACCGGTTTTCTGTGAGGTCGTGGCATCAATCCGGTCGAGCCGGCCCATATAATAATAATAGTAAAAAACTCACACATCTCACACACGGCCGTCTGGTCCCAAACTAGGCAGAGCCTGCACTATAGTAACCCGACTGCTGATACTTACGTATATATTTTTAAATTCATACATATTATAGATAAATTACACCCAGACACAGAACAAATGATCGTACGCATTACAAAATTACGTGTATTTGTCCTGGGTGGGAATCGAACACACGACCTCTGGTTTAGCAGTCATGGTCACTAACCACTAGACCAACAGGCCATATGGTGCCGAAGTGTCCTTCCCTCCACTATAATGTTATTAATATTGCACTATCTAAGAGTCATCATCTTCAATAGAGAGGAAACAATTCATCAAGAAGAGATACTTACTGTTAGCAAATTACCAATTTGATTTACTTTTATCAACTATAAATGAATAACTAGTTTCACAGAAATTAAAAGTGTATTTGATGATACTAAATTGCACTAATTCGTAAACGCTATATTAATAAATAGAATAAAAAATCGTAATTAAAATATTAAACTCACCCAGCTAATACATTGTTATAAATATATGGTAGCCTAGAAGCTTTTATGAACTCTTCAGTCCCGTTCCACTTCCATGTACGATAGTTCTCTGACGTGTAGACACATGGTAGCATCTGGTCCAACTGTCCACTGTCAAGAAAAAGTAAGTTAAATAGCTCTAATAAAATGCCTCCTCCCTAAAACTAATAAAGCATCTATATAGCTATATCTCTGTAATGAAATCTCTTATTTATTGAGGTATAACAAATACTAATAAAAGAGCTGCCTCGCACCCAAGGTGTGGCTAAAATTGCCCTTAAAATCTTATTCTGCTTCTAGAATGACGGTTGCAATCGCTCCTACTTATGGCCGGCTGACTTAATTGGTCACCATAGATAAAACAGTATTTATGGTCTATACTTATTGATAGAGTTTGTGTGAGTAAAGTCAAACACTGTTGGGTGTCAGTTTTCCCACCGAAATAGGAGCATTCGAATAAATAATAATACAACAACATATAAAAACCGTAATTAAGTAGTTTTATTTGTATCTAATTTTTCTGCTTTTTTAAGAAACAAGTAACCTACTTTTCATTAAAAAACATGTGCTGCAAATGGTCCCGCCAAGTTTGACGTTTAATCACTTGGCTATTTTTTTTTGCTTGCTGCTTACTATTATTGAGTTTACTCTTCCACAACCTTCCTTACAACAACTCTTAACGAATTGTTATGACAAGCCGTAAGTTATTATGGTTGTTATTACATGACAGTTAAAAGAGGTTTTTTCTTTAAGAGGATCTCCTTTAACTGTTCTGTGGTTGTTATTGAGTTGTGATTCACTTACTAAGTTTAATTTAATACATTTATGCAAGATGTTAGTGTATTGTATGCTAAAAAGAACGTGTAATTTTATAAATAAATGATATCTACCTGATAATGATTATTTGTTATGATGTCATTTCAAGACAATGAATAGACATAATTACCCTTTTATTGCAGTGTTTCGCGGAAATGGGTGAGAATTTAAATATACTGTATTTGTAATTTCTTTTACATACCTACTTAAGCGTTTGTATTATGCATAAATAATACATTTAACTACATCTTATTATTTTTCGTAAATTTAAGAAGTCAAACTACCCATAGTAAAACTAAGTCTGATAGCTCAGCTGTAGGATTAAGTTTATAAGTTTAGTTTACATTATATCGAATGGATACAAAGTTGAAACCTTTTTTCAGCCTTTGTACTACCTACTTAACGCCTACTTAACACCCAGTTTAATATAAATAGTAAAATGCACTTACCAGTATGCAAGCACTCTGTAATTCTCTAACAATTGTTCAAACAACGGTTTTGTTGTACTCAAAAAGTCCGGTGCTAGTTTTGAGTTCACGGTGATATTCACGAAGCCAAACTTGATTTCGCCCACGTGAATTGCTTTCTTGACCTTGGACGATCTCAGGAAACTAATGTATTTACCCACAGAGAGGTCATCGCGGAGGAAATTGTAGGCGTGTCGTTGATGTGTCAAGAACAGTAAGATTGTTATTAAACTGTTCCATTTCTGTGAAAGATATAATTGGGTAATTCATTATTATACACTAGAAAATTACAAAAGACAATATTATTTATAACTATTGGCATTTAACGTTTTGATTAATACCAATTGTGACTAAGTGACACCAAACAAAAGTAACTTACACTTACGCGTTACCTTATATAAATACTCTGACTCCGTGGTACTTTTAACTAAACAACTAATTTTAGTTTCGTTTAAAAAGTCAGCTTCTCTAGATTTTTTAACTAAGAAGGATGGAATATAAGGAGTTAGCAGTGGCAACACGGTTTACGCCTTACCAGCCTTATGTATAACGGTAACCACTTTAAAAAAGAATGACCGGAGGAATATACGCACTTGTTTAGCTTCTACACTCCTGTTAGCTTTGATATCCTCGTGGAATGAGTCCACCAACGGCTGCACTATCTTAATCTGTTCTTTCTCCAAGAGACCAAAGTAGTAGAACGGCCATACCAAATGTGCTATCATATCTGGATCTACGTACGCGTTTCCAATTATCATGCCCTAGAATGAAATAAAAATTATAATATACATCAGACACCATATGAATTTTTTATCGAGCGTATTTTATAGTCCCCATTCTTGTCATAACAAATCATTACACATATATACTTACTCAAACAACTGTGTCTCTTATCAACCATGAGCATCGTAATTCTGTTACATTTGTACCAATGTAATGTACTAAGAAATAGTACATACAAAACAAAGGGTAGTTAAAATTCCCATTAAATAATTATATTTAACTACCAATGCCGAATGACCTAATACTCGACCGTCGCAAGTGCGTAGCCAGTCTTTAAAGTGAGAGTACGCTCTTTTCTCTAGGGTTCGAAAGTTATATCAGGCTGAAAATACAGTAGGCGACTATTTTGTTTCACAGATTAGTTATGTAAGTAAGTTTTTTAAAATGCGCACACGGGTGGAGTTCATGTTAGCTAAATACGGGGAATGGAATTTTCGTCTCGTTGAATGATGGCAGAAACCAGCTGCCTGTAAACACAAGTCTGAATCGTCGAAGCACTCTCCAGAGTATTACGTTAGTAATAATAATTTCGGGAAAATAATACCTGAAGATTAATACTAGGGTTTTCTGGGTTCTGGTTTCTTTTATGTATCTCCATGGCCAAGGCCGGTACATATTTTCCGGCGTATGATTCTCCAGCCACAAATAGCGGCACTGTTTTCAGCTCAGGGAATACTTGGAAGAACTGTTTTAATGTACTGTATAGATGGTCAGTATACTGAAACAATAATTAAAATGTGAGAAAATCTAAAATAACAAATTTGGCTGTGACGATAAAAAAAATCCGTTACAGTATCTCTAGGTTGGCTCTAGGCTAGTAACACACATAAAAAAAATATTTAATTCAATTGAAAGGATTTTACAAGAGAGTTATGTGCCAAATTGTTTTCTTTTTTAAAACAAACACAAACTTAAAATTGGAATATCAAGTGTGTGTCATGGCACAAAAGTCTGTACACAACAGTACAAGTTATACTCATCTGAAGTTCAATTCTCGTAATAAAAATTCGGTCTAAATTCAGTTCCGATTTACTCTCGATCTCGCAACTGTCATAAAAGGTATTTTCGTAGTAAAATAGTAAAGTAGTGCTAAGACTAGCAGATTACCGATTACAGTTTCGTTCACAATACGATAGAATCACATTACAGTCAACGTTGGATACTTTACTACGAAAATACCTATTATGACATTTGTAAGATCAAGAGTTCATCGATCGAGAATTGGCTTTCTGGTTTTCGTTATACTAGTTTTACCTACGTAATATGAGACAAGTCATTGGAGTACATGGTTGAAATTTGACCGCTAGGCAATCTCCTAGTTATCATTAATGTATCTAATAACACCACTAGCCGTATTCAGCACATAGTATATTCCCTCTAGTATGTTATAGAATATATAACATACTAGAGGGATAATTTGTTCAATTATCTATTTGTTCGTCATAGGTGAATACCTATGACGAACAAATAGATAATTGTGTAATTATCATTTTTTTTATAAATTATATATACTAGTTTGATTTCCTTTTCTATTTGCTAACATACCAGCTACTACCCTATAGGTACCTCTCCTCCTTTATGTTTTCTCTCCATACCACGGTTGCCTGTAAGAGATTGCCTCTGAGCGATAAGGCCGCCACTTGTACTAGTATAACCTAGTTTAAGGTATTTATTGTATATTTATAATTGGTGTACAATAAAGTGATATATTATTAATAGTACTAAACTTAATTAACAACAGCTTACAGTAAATACAGTCAGTAGCCCACATCTACATTTTCTTGATCAATTGAAACGGCATAGGTACAATATAAGAGTAGTGCAAAAGTGTGAATAAGAAACAAGTAGTTACTTTAACTCTTCAAGTTTTGTTTTTAATTACTAGAAAATCACAAACTATAACTAATTGCTATATGTAAATAGTTTAATTACATAGATATAATTTCAGAGTAATTAACTACATTTCTCACGATGATAATTACTTTTATAAATAGAGAGCGCTTTGAAGTATCTAGGTCCTAGGTACGCGGTTAGTTTAAAAAACCTTTGCCGTCTGTCTTGAATGATTTAAATAAGTATTTTAACCGACTAAAAGAGGAGGTTCACAATCCGGCTGTATATTTTCATGTTTCTTACATCAGAACTCTGTCATTCATAAACCGCTGTGAAAAAATTGTTTTTACTTGGATCACACACCGCAAGTGGTAGGTACTTTTATTTTTTACATATTGAATTTTGAAGAACAATTACCACCTTCAAGAGTGCAAAATGAATGAATCAAGAAAACAGTCCAAAGAAACAGTTGTTACAACATCACTATGTCGCCATTGCAGTCGGTGACGCTTTAAAAAAGTTAATTATATTCACCTTAATATGTGGAACTATCATCAACATTATTACTCATATGTTAAAATAAATAGTCCGTAAGCCCATTAATACATGTGTATTAAATACAAATTACGTTTTATAAGTTAAATTAACGTGTGTGTGTGGCAATTGTTAAGGGTAGTTGGAGGCCTAAAAGAAGTCCGACAACAGTCTTCCTACAAAACTTCGATATCGCCTAGTCGCTACTTGAGTTGTAAAGGTCTGATGGCAGTCGCAAAACATCGAAGTTCAACCATATCGTAGTAGACTTAAAGCCGACCCCGACCTAGTTTGGGAAAAAAAGACTCGGAGGAAGAAACGTGTGTCTTTGTCGCCAATAAGTTTTACAATTCTTGCAAGTGAGAAAACTGTATAATGTACAAATAGATCATGATATGACGAGACTAGAAGTGAATGCTTAAAAACAAATATCTAATCTTTTATTTTATCTTTAAGTTTATTTAAAATTACATTTTATTAATAATTGAAACTACCTAGTTCATAACATTACACCAGAAATAAAAACAATTCATAATATTTTCTTCTCTGCAATTTGTCTCTAACATTCCGTTCACTAACAACTGACTAATTACCTGATTTAAATAAGAAATACTCGTACATGTTCTTTTTAACACGAAATAAAAATATCGCCTTACCCCGGTCATATCTGTAATGTATCCATCTTCATGGTCCGTAAAGCTGTACCCTGTCCCAACGGGATTGTCAATGAATATGAGGGAGTGGTTCTGCAGCCATGTGTATGGATTCCCTGAAATAAACATTAAGTCGTATTATTTGCTCAATTTTTAGGAGGAAAAGTCCCTCACGTTTCTTTTCTAGAGGGAAAAAATAGAGGGAGTTAATGAGAGAGAGGAATATACAAGACTGCAAAGTAAGTTGATTTAGATGAACGATAAATGCCACAAAAAAAATAGATTACACGTTCGTATTTTAATACAATGTTAACTCCCATTAGTCTTACTCATACAAACATTAAAATAACACTAGAATCCATAAAAGATATACGGATCTCGTATCTATTCCAAATGGTTATTCACGACTGTCGTTGCTTAGTAAATAGCACTATGTGGTGATAGCCGCGACAACTTCTAGAAGACATTATACTGATTATACTAAAGTAAAAATAATATTCTATATTGTATTAGTTTTTAATGTGTAATTTTTCTGCAACATTAACTTAATTGTGATTTTTGCATATGAGCTTATTGATTAAGTGAGAACAATCTTGTTAAACTAACTAGAAAGCAGGCGTGGTTTTTTCCCAAACTAAAACAATTGGATAATCGCATTATCTATAATGCAGAATTGAACCACACACTACCAATAGAAATACTTGAACACATACTACCAATAGAAATTGGATTTAGTATTCATGTATGCTTAAGGACAATTGGAACATCCGTAGGTAATAGTACTCACTCAGAACGTAAGCAAGGGTAATACTCAGTGCCTATGAAATGAAAAGCACAATTCTTAGAAGTTTCTAGTTGGAAAGGACCTTTCTATGCTCTAACGAGACATATTACAATACTTTCCATCATTCTTATCGCGACATAATAAACTTAAAAAAAAGGATCACAAAAACTCACTAATCTGATTTTATGTTTTTTTTTACATAATAATTGCAGATTTATTAGAATGGTTTTTAATTCGTGTCATATCACTAAAGATTCTTCTTATATGATAAATGTTTCAAGCTGTTTGAGCAACTGCTAATTAAGAGTGGGTCATCAAAATACTAAAGTATTTTGAAATCAATGCCTATCATTTATCATTATTTAAAACTAATAACTATAAAAACAAATAAAGGTACTTCGTATTCTTTTGACACATTATGGGTAAAAGCGTAACAAATACAGTCATATTTACATATATTTTTATTTACTTGGGATGTGATTGAAATTGGTAAAGCTAGTTTTTAATTGACGGTTAAAATTAGACAGTGGCCATCTGAAAGTGTGTTGTTCGTCTACATTCACAACGGTGTCAATTGCAGTAAATTTCGAAAAGATGAATGACTCAATACATGAATTATCGTATTTGTGATAAGATTGGGACCCCAAAAAACAGACAGATAAAAGAAAAATATAATTGTGAAGACTCATTGATTAAAACGAGAACTAAGACATAAAAAACTTTCCATCTGCGGACATCGTTGACTATGTATGAAATTGTACATTAAGATCTTGTTTTTATTTCAAAATGTTTACATAATATTGAATCTTATTCTAAAAGTGCTTGAATAAGTTACTTTTTTGGACCTAGTCCTACTAAAAAATGTACTTAAATTATGTGATTTTGAACAGCCCATTAACCTTCTTTTTATTTCACAGGTAAGCACTTTAAAACATGCAAGCACTAAATTTATACTTACGTCTCAATGTGCTGTTAAGTACAGTAAAAGGTCCGATTTCATCAAAAAGTCCAGTCATACTTGATGCTCCGGGTCCTCCTTGCAGCCAGATAATTAATGGACTCTCACTCACTGGTTTATTTAGTACGGGGAAGTACCAAAAGAATATATTCGAGTTATATGTCTCGTTCACAGTAAAGAAACCAGAGTAACTCTTGATGCCCAGAAAAACCTCTGAATCAACTTTACACGCCGTTCGAGCCTCTTTCGTTCTTCCTTCTTTTAAATACTTTGATAGCATTAACGCTGTACCATTGTCAATTTTACTTTCATCGTTTGTTGCATTCAGTTTACATAAATTATCCATAACATAAGTGAAATTGTAGTTTGGATTTAATAAATTATTAAATACATCTTTTTCTGTGGTGCAATTTGGTTGCTTGCTCTCTGAAGAATTTGAAACATTTTCTTTATTCAAGTCCAAAGTGATTAAATTGTCACTAGCGTTAGTTTTCTCAATCAAATCATTGACAATAGTTTTCACTGTTGAAACTGGCTTTATATCTAATATTAAATTACTAACTTTATCTTTATTACGTATAGTGAGTCTTCCATTCGCACTGAAAACAATTTAATGTTGAGTAATCGTTTCATTAAAATGCTATAGTAATTAACATCGTTTATTATGTTATGATGAATGATATTCCTAGTTTTGTTTTTATCACTAAATATACAATTCAAATGAAATATTGCACATAACGCAGATGAATAATTCTGCCTCTGTTGTAATTTATAAATTGTACCTAACGTATGATATAATAATCTGATTTACATTCTTTGGCAATGGATCGATATATAGAAGATAAATATATAAAAAAAATACCTTACACACTCTTTGGGTAGAAATTAGATAAACCTCAAAAAGGTAAAATATTAAATTTGTAACAGTGATAATGGTGCTTGGTGGAAAAGTATTAACTACTACGCCATTAACTGACCCTGTTAAAGACGCAGTTTACAGAATAATGGAATTAAGTGGCATGTTGGCATAATTGAAATCAAGTACTACTTTTCTGGCCTATCTTAAGACCACGATACAATAAACGTAAAGTATGATTTATTCATCCCGTGGGTGTCGTGGAAGTCGACTAAGGGAGAAAATTACGCAGGACAACAGCACTGCAAAGAGAAGGAAAACTTGAAACAAACCCTATGCCAACCCGTCTGGCCAGCGAGGTACAGTAGGCCAAAACCTCCTTTCAGAGGAGAGGCCTATGTCCAGCAGTGGAATATCATAGGCTGTATCATGGTGGACTATCATTGATGGGATTGATGAAAGTATGATACCTTAAGCCAACAAGATCAATGAACCGAAAAATCTAACCGAATGAGTACGGAGGCTGAGGAAGTGGAATATAAGGAGAACTCAGGCTCCAGCATGCAGTGTCGCGAAACGTCCAGAAGTAACCAGTATTTTACATGAATAAAAATTGAAATATATATAAACTACGTATTTATTTAGTGACCTCTGTATCATATAGATTATGAATATGCGATCCGGACCTCGTCGATCTATTGCGATATATGTTCAGTCTCAGACCTACAGGTCAGTCCACATCCTGACTCTTTTGTCCTATCAGTTTTCCTTCTTTCTTCGTCCCATCTAAAAACTATTACATTCCTACTGAGGGTTAACGTAAGGCAGAAGAATATAGAAGAAACCAACGAACATGGTTTGCAACTGTGGCTAATCCTGGATTGGGGCACAATAATATAAGTGTTTGTGAAACTAGATTTAAGAAATGGAAGCTTTGATTCACTTTACACATAGAAGTCGAACACAAAGTCGAGGTTACTACAAAATGTTAAGTAATCGCCTAATTTTTGTACATGACCCTCGTATAGAATACGGAATTCACGATAGTAACTAGAACTTAAGTCAATGAAGGTAAAGATTAACATATTATTATAACATATCTAATTCCAATCAAACATCAATGAAAACATTTTAGTAACCTCGCAAATCCCAACAGGTTACAGAAAAAAACTTACCTTATTACGCACAAAATAAAAAAAAACAAATACTTCATTATGGCTAGGTAAATTAATTAATATGTTATACGTGATATAATTCACACATGGTTAACGAAGTACTAAACTGTCATACGTTACAACGTCGCCCATTTTCATTATCATTTGAACTATTTGATCCCGAAACGTTGATACACGACCATTGAAATTCACTTGTCGATCTGTAAACGGCGCATATGTTACGTTTATCATGTTTTCATTGAGTTCTAATCTTAGCTCGTTTTATCGCAAATACTAAATACTTAAAAATCGCATGGGCTTTACCTATTTCTTGTTAATGATTACGGATGAAGCCCGCAAAGATCACGAAGCAAAGATAAAGTGTGAGGCAACAAGATAAACCGGCCATAGCGCAAGGGCCTGTAAGATATTAACTCTTACTAAGCTGAGCTAATGGTTGGTAAGACTCTCGGAGAGGAGGTCAAAGGAAATTACCACTTTATTTATATCTACTTACTAAAAGTAATACCTCCCACACGCCCACTTCTGAAACTCTTGTACACCAGGATCACGAACTGACCAAGTTATTTCGTTCGGGCAGTTCCAGAAAAAATAATATAAATTAGGTTTGAGCTCGAATTGTCCACTAACAACCAGTTTGAGTTCTATCTATACAACCCCAATCTACTCGAGCTCCTTCTTACACTTCCCAATCCATCTCATAATACGGAAATGTACCTAAATCTTACCCACCATTGTATTCCCTTCTTACCTAGAAGTAGAAAGTACCATGACTGTATGTGTATATATATGTAAGAAGACTTAAAAAGGCCAAGTGGAAGCGCCTAAACTTTTCTGAGAACTTCTCGAAAAATCAAGTAACAATTTGTAAAAAATACGGCCACTTACGAATATAATTACCTACCTACTAATGTCGTAGATCAATTTATCTACTTTTTGGAAGCGTAGGTTGTCCTACGGTTCACTGATACGTGATACTGGGCAAGGCTGATGATATTATGTACGTTCATAATTGTTTCTTTTAATTAGGTACATTGATTCCTTTACAAATAAAATTGATAAGAAAATGTTAATAAATGCCCGGCATACTTAACTACGTAAATCATACACTAAGTAAATCATCATCATCATCAACAGCCTTTAATAGTGCATGGCTGGACGTAGGCCTCTCCTTAGAAAGGAGGTTTTGGCCTACTATAACACGCTAGCCAGACGGGTTGGTATAGGGTTTGAGTCAAGTTTTCCTTTTTTTTTTGCAGGGCTTTTGTCCTGTGTATTTTTTTCCCTTAGTCGGCTCTGGCAACACCCATGGGATAAATAGGGATGTTGACATTCCGTATTCTTAATCCTTCACCACGCGGACACTAAGTAAATACTAGTAGTAATATATATGCACGGATGGCGTAGTGGTTAAAGCGCTCGCCACGTCGCGTCGCTCACTACTAGGCTGAGTGTTGTGGGTGCGATCCCCACATGGGACGACACGACAAATTATCATTCTGAGTCTGGGTGTCCTTTGTGTCCGTTTCATTTATGTTTGTTAAGTCCTAATTAAGTCCTAAGTTAAGTCCTAATGCGGGAGTTGTCCTTTTTAAAAGAAAAAGAAAGAAAGAAAAAGAACAAAAAATCAAACCCACCAATAACCCGATTCTTTCAACAATTCAAGATTGTTGTTTAAACATCCTAAGAGGGCCCTACTACTCGTATAGGTAGGTCCAGTTATTTATTTCGTTGTTTGCTTGCTTCGTTCAGAATAATACATTTTAAACATAGTACATATCTCGCCATGTCAAAAAATGAAGACACATCGAATGTATTAGGTTATGTGTCTTCGTGTTATGCCCGCCTCCAAATCGCTCACATTCCACTGCTGCTGTCTCTCTGCCCTGTTTATGTCGTCTCCTTCCTCGCTAGTGCCGCCATCACCTCGTGCGGGCCCGCCTGGCTCAACCGACTGCCTTGCACGGCGCGCACTTGGCGTGGACCCTCTCGGCCACTTCGCCAGCGCCGATGTAGCTCCGCGGTTACTGTACTGTTTATAATTTCCCGTTCGCCTGACTCCTACTGTAGCTGGGTGCACAGATGCCGGTTTCCGATGTTTCACATAGGGGTGGGTAGGGGTCCTTCAACCAAATCTGCACCTGCCTTAGCTGCCTCTATTGTCACTGCTAGCTTTTATGCCTTTTCGAATGAAAGCTCTAAATCATCCTCCGCAAATAACCGCTGTCTAGTTATCTCGTTAAGTATGCCGCACACTTACTGATCTCTTAGGTTATCACGTAATGACTCACTAAAATTGCACGTTTTCGATAGCCTTTTCAGTTCCGTCACATATTCAGCAATTGTCTCGTCTTTACTCTATTTACGCTGACAGAATTTATAACGCTCCGCTTACACACCAGCTTGTGGTTGCAAATGATTTTGCATAACGTTTACTGACTAAAGGTTTTTGTACGCGGCCCCTCAGGTGTAAGTACACAGATTCACCATTAACTCATGAGCATGCTATATATGACAGTAATTAATGTAGCCACTTTTATTGCTTCTTTCACGTCATTAGCTACAAAATATTGTTCCAGCCTTTTCACGTATGACCGCCAATTGTCCTTACTCACGTCTAACGGCGTCCTAATTACTGTCGAAACACAATAAAATTAAAACCGTTTGCACACGTGAACGATGCACTACCTCGTCTAGAGTCTAGACTTGTTAAGTCGTACTTCGGTTTAAATAAGGAGCAAAATAAAACACAATGTATATAAAAATAATTACAAGTACCGTCATATCATACATACATCACAATTTAGTGGGCTCTTACGTCACTCATGGGATGAAAAGGGGTGGTGACACTCCGTATTCTTAATCCGGATAAATATTTGTACATTATTATATACGAGTATTTTTAATACACATCCACACGGATAAATATTTGTACATTTTTATATATTTTTAAAAACTGAACGTCTATGCTCTCTTTTTATGGTGTGCGTGAATTTCCGTCGAGCCTTCACCCACGGAGGTTGTCAGTTTAGATTTCGGGTTGTGTATTGGAATCACATCGATTAAAACTGTATGGCCCTCCCAAAGCACAGGCATCACCTTCGGCGTTTACAATTACGCGACGTCCAGACACATGCAGATGTCGCCTCCTTGCGGGTGGAGGGTTATTCCTGGATCCTCATCTTACACAGACATTTAACTTAGCTTAAGCAGTTAACAAGAATATTGTGTTCCATTTATGTAGTAGTCAAGTATACATTTAAAAAACGTAGTGGTGAATAATTTTGATCGCGTCATAATCTATATGCATAACTGTTCTATGTCACATTCATTGGGCACTTAGTTTAGTTTATTATCAGCAACATTATTAGGTACATAAGCTAAGAAGTTACAACGAACGGCTATTCGACAACGGTTATTGTACCAATCCATACTTATACCATTGATGTGAAAGTGAGTTTATTTGTTTTTCACCTTGTTTTTTTAAAACCAATTTTAAGAATTCTTTCAACAATGAAAAGCTACATTATCAGCGAGTAACATAGGCTACTATATTCCGCGATGACCGACATACACGCGGGCGGAGCCGCGGGCAAAAGCTAATAATACAATTTCAAGCCTAATCCTATAAACCGTTTTAAAAATTCATTCACCAATGGAAAGCTACGTTATCAGTGAGCAATACGTTACTTTTAACCGCGATAACCGGCAACGGTTTTTTATTTTAAATGTGGTGATCGTGATCGGTTAACGGCCGTTTTCAATAACCTATCTATCCTTAGTTCTCATTACTACAGTTAAACAAATCTATCCTTTTACCGTAACTTACGTTTCAATAACCTACCGGCAGATAGCATTTCCTATCGGAGTTATCTATCTACCTTTGGGAGGACGGATAGTCAACTAGAGATAGGAACTCGCATAGTAATCTGACTAACTTGTATTTCAATATAAGTTTCGAGTTACTCTCCGGTAGGCGCAGCTAACTATTAGTAACGTTTTTGTTTATCTGTCAACATCGGCCAGTTACGCGGGCAGATAGAATTTCGATAATAAATAACTTCATATTAAATATAAAATAATGGAAGGTTTTAGCAGTGATGATAGCGATATGGAATTATTTGGAATTATAATGGATTATGATGAAAGCAGTGACAGTGATACTGATGATAACATACCTGTACAGAAGGAATATAAACCACGTGTGAATTATATGACTAAATTAAATGACTACGAATTTGCATATAGATTTAGATTAAATAAGAGTGCTGTGAATCAATTAATAAATTGGATACAACCATATTTAAGTGTAACATCTAAAAGGTAAGGTTTTACGTTATCATTTTTAGTCCTATCTCCATCCTTTAACCAAATTTGATAAAAAATATATTATAATCATAAACAACAACGATTAAACCATTCTTTAATTTGACAATTACAAGCAAGTGTATTATATTTTATTTATTGGGTTTGGCTCAAGTGTAGGCTCTTACTGGGGCTAGTATTGCTATTATAGCAAAGGTTCAGGTTTGTCATCAGGTTATAACAGTTCTTATTTTTTTCCAGAAATCACGGCATATCCACCCTCCATCAGATACTTTTGGCTCTACGATTCTATGCATTGGGTACTATGCTAGTGTCTGTTGCAGATTTTATCGGAGTATCTATAGCATCTGCTAGTCGTATTGTCTCTGATGTATCCAAAGCCATAGCAAGATTATACTCAAACTTTGTTGTGTTACAAAATCACACTCAACAAGAGTTTTATAATATTGCTAGATTTCCCAGAGTACATGGTGTCATAGATGGCACCCATATATTAATACAATCACCAAGTAAGTACCTCATCTCACCTCATATTGAACTATTTAATACTTCTATTTAGGTCCCGGTCTAACTTCACTTTTTATGATGTTTTCATACCATAATTCTTTTGTTTACAGACTCAAATGTGGGAGAAGAATTCAGAAACAGGAAAGGAACATTCTCTATTAATGTACAAGTTGTGTGTAATTGTAAATTAGTGTTCCTAAATGTTGTTGCCCGATGGCCAGGATCCACTCATGATGCAACTATATTTAACCATTCTGATTTAAAAGGTTACTGATTTAGTTAGTTGCTTATTCTATAAATGTTAAGTACACTGTTCCTATTGCTTAAAAGTCTAATATATAATATAAACTTGCAGATTATTGTGAACAAGGTAGACTTGGAAATCGCTGGCTGCTTGGTGATAGTGGCTATCCATGCACACCCTATCTATTGACACCTCTACTCAACCCAAATACTCCATCAGAGCAATCTTATAATGAAGCACACATTAAAACAAGAAATACTATAGAGAGGTTTATTTTGTTTAGTAAATACTAGATTCAGTGTACATGGTTTAAATACACAATTTATTAATAACTACTGTAATTGCAGATGCATTGGAGTTTGGAAAAGAAGATTCCCCATATTATCCTTGAAAATGAGGCTAAAATTAGAAAATATGCAATCCGTTATTATAGCCACTGCTGTGTTACACAATATTGCCAGAACTATGAATTTGGATGAAATTGAGCCAGAAATATCGATTCCAGAAACAACACAGGAGGAAAATGTAATTGTCAATGATAATTCTCCAATTTCAAACATGTCAGAACGGCAATTACTAATAAATAATTATTTTAATGTGTAAAATAAATAATATTAATTCATGTTTTATGTACATTTTTATTTTCTTTTACAAATTTGACATCAGAATACAATGTACCAGTGGTGGATTATTGAGGTAAACAAAGCACATGCCTATAATAATCATTTATTTCAGACCGTACTGATGCAGTCCATAGTGTTAGTGTATTAGTAATAATTTGCTTATAATTAAGTTAGTCAGAACGGCAATTACCAATAAATAATTATTTTAAACATTAATTCATGTTTTATGTACATTTTTATTTTCATTTACAAATTTGACATCAGAATACAATGTACCAATGGTGGATTATTGAGGTAAACAAAGCACATGCCTATAATAATCATTTATTTCAGACCGTAGTGATGCAGTCCATAGTGTTAGTGTGTTAGTAACAATTTGCTTATAATTAAGTTAGTATTATTAGTATCATTACATTAATTTAATTTCATTTTATACTTATAAGTTCCTTTACCCAATGTTTTTTAATAGATATATATGAAGATTAAAAATTACAATCAAAAAATTTAAAACATTTTACCTCATTAATTTTCTAATCTAGCCTTATCTAATTCTAACTTAAGTTTAGCTATATGTAACTCCTTTTCCTCATTTTCTAATTCGATTTTTCTTTTCTTAACAACTAAATATTCGGTAAGAGCATTTTCATTTTTTTTTTTTTTTTTTTTTTTTTTTTTTTTTTTTTTTATTAGGGTTAACAACAGTCCTTAAAAATAAATATTACAATTTAAATTTCTACAATCAGGTGAAACCAATTAATGTTAACCACGTATGCAATTTTGATTTTAATAAAAATTGCCCAGACTTTGTCACAGCAAAAATGTAAAAAAATAAAAGTTGAAGCCAAAACATAAAATATTAAAACTAATAAATTAAATTACAACTAAAAGAACAGTGAGACAATATTCTAGGCAAGCAGTATGCTGAACTCTTCCATCCTTTGTTTCCGCTTGGCTATAAAAATAAAGTAAAGTAAGATATAGTAGTTATTATATGGTTTCAATGTGTGTCATAGTCCACAGTTAGCATGTTTCAGAGAATAAGTATGTAATGGAAAATAGCATTAAAACAAAAATTTCAGCCACCCACCCAATGCACCACTGCCACTAGCTTTACTTAAGTAAAAATTTTTATGTTTAGGGGGGGGAGGTGTCTCAAGTAATTGTGTTTCTTTCAACACCTCCCTCTTATCACCACCTCCACCATAAGTACCATCAGCATCATCTAGCGTTTCATTACATATCACCTCTACATCATTCTCTATTTCAGCCATCACCAAAGAAACGTTTGGAATGGTGGCATCCCCACCAAACTCCACAGAAAAACCTGTGCATGTGTTGCCTAATAAAGATGCCACTTTGTCCAGGACTTCGTCAGGTGGAAAGTAGTCATTCCCTCCTCCAGTCTGTAAAAAAAAGGAGTACTGAAAAATATTATTTTAACTTACTACTTACTGTTGTGAATCATAATCCCTAACTGACCTTATTACGGCTGATTCTCATGTTTGCGCAGCGTTTACGAGCGGCCTTCTTCAAGTTATCCCATTTTAAACGTAGCTGCGCTGGAGTTCTTTGGTAACTTGAAACTGACGAATTAAATTCAATAGCTAATGTTTGCCAAGCCTGGTCCTTGAGTTTGTTATTAGTGGCATTTGTTGCTTTGTTATTTATAAATGCACTTGCCGCCACAAGCTGCACGAGGAGCATCGTCTCATCTTTTGTCATTGGCGCCGCTTTGCTTGACTGAAAAAAATAATCTTTAGAAGATTGAACGGATGGAATGTAAAAATTATCATCAATGTAAATACTTACAGGATTCATTTTTAATTAATTTTATGATATTTAACACAAGATACGCGCACAAACAAATTCTAATGTCTTCAATACAATGCGATATGTCAAAACGTTTTATTTCATGATACAATTTAGTAAACAAATTAAAAAAATCAAGTTAATGTTGATTCACCATAAAATGTATAAAATAATATACACAATAAGAACTTTTAATAAACATAAATAAATAGTTAATATTTGTTTTTAACATTAAACATTTGATTAGCAAAGCACTAAACGTTTCAAGAGGGAAAAAGCTATCCTTCGTTTGTGACAGATAGATAGCACTTATCCTCGATTGTGAAACGCAAGTCAGGGATAGATAAGATCAGGCTGCAAATCGAAGATAGCGATCTATCCTTAACTGGAGATAGGTTATTGAAAACGGCCGTAAGTAAACAAACGGTTAGCAAACGTACAAACGCATTCATTTTAGGATTTAGATTACGATTAGCTATCATACAGTATTATCACAATTGATACTAACTTCTTACAATCTTACATTACTTAACTATACAGTAATTGGTAGGTAGTTGTACCCTGTCACGCTTCGCTGTGGCACATTGTGCATAATCGGTTTAGTGGTTTAGGCGTGAAAGCGTAACAAACAAACTCACCCTCACATTTATAATATAAAAATCAACGGTCTACGGACCCCCGGTCGGAACGAAGTTCCGCAAGAAATGTGGGAAAAAAGTATCGTTACACATTTTTCGCTCTCGCTCCCTCCCTCAGAGCGTGTAACGCGCGATAAGGAACTTCGTTCTAAAATATTAAATAATATATTATAAAAGATGAGTAGGTAATATAAGTTAAATATATGATCTTCCACTACTTATACTGTATAAACACATGTCTAAACGTGTGTTTCAAGTAAACAGAGGAAAACAAAACGGCGTGAAAGGTCTATGGACCCCGGTCGGAACGAAGTTCCTCTCGCTTTTTGATAAACGTTTGCTGTAGTATCGGCTAAAATCGCCTTACGCATTTTTCAGTCTCGCTCCTATCCGCTCAGAGAGTGTAACGCGCGATAAGGAACTTCGTTCCAAAACTTCTTTCCAAAAGCATATCGTCTTTTTTCAGTTTTAGCGTTTTGATACCATTTGATGAAGAACGATCACGGGCTTCGTTTCGAGCAGTCAAAAAGGAAGTAGCTAATCTGCGTTAGTAAACCTACATGGTCAACACATACAGATTACAAATGATTCACAAGATTTGTTAACATTTTTCAAATTGTTACAAAAACAATTCCATTTTCATGTGAAGAACTGCCATAAAATTTTTGACCAGGGGCCATCCATAAATTAAGTCAGGGAGGGGGGGCGTCGACAATGTGTGACAAGGAGTGGGAAGGATCCTAAGTTTCGTAACTGTGACTGTTTAAGTGATTTTATTTAAAAAAATTAAAACAAAACTAATTTTAGAACTAATTTGTTTCCCTTTAATAATTTCTAGATGTAAAATTGCGAAATATATGAAGTCACACTATGGAGGGGGTCTCACAAACATAGAGAATACTCACAAATGCGACCAGCTACGACACAAACAAACAAGTTTATTGAACCATCAAAGTTACATTTTGTACAGTGCTCTGTTTCCTAAACTTGGTTGATTAACCTGTATCTTAGTAGTCAGTGCATACCTTAATTAGAGGCACAATGGTTATTGCAGGGTATACAATTTATGCGAAAAGTTAAATAATAGAAAAGAGACGGAGAAAAAAAATTGAATCGAATGCATACAAAATAAAAGCAAAAAGCACAAAACGGGGATCGCTACAAACCTTATGTCATTATGGTCCCCCATAATGACATAAGGTTTGTAGCGATCATTCATTCAATTACACATGAGCTTGGTGGAACCAAGTATATTTATTACATTACATGTAAGTCACTCTACAGAACTTCGATAACACTAAGTATTTAGGTCGTGGAGAACTGATGGCAGTTCAGCCGTATAGTACCTAGTAGCTTAATGCCGACCACAACGTAGTTTGGGAAAAATGCTCGGAGAAAGAGATATAACTTTTTTTCTTTAAAAAAAGACAACTCCCGGACTAGGAATATATCCTGTGTCGCGGGGGACTTTACAAACATACTATCAAACTGACACAAAAAACACCCAGACTCAGAACAACAATTTGTGGATCGCACTAAGTGTCGTCCCATGTGGGAATCGAACACACAACACTCAGCGTAGTAGGAAGCGGCGTGGCGACAGCTTAAAACACTACGCCATTCGTGCAGTCAATATACGACGCATAAGTATACAAGTAAAAGAACATATAGGTGTTTTATTGTTTTCCTATTCTTTTAATTTATCCTAAACTTACTTTAGTAAATGATTGCTATAAATATTTCGTCAGTATAATACCAAAAGATCGTGAAGGGTGAAATATTACTACTAAGTGTTAAGTAGGTAATTTATGTAACCCTGTTAAAGGTAAAAAAACAAGAAAGATGATACGAAAAGTACCTACTTATCAGAGTTCGCCAGTCGCTAATATAGTATTTTACTTCTTTTGTATATGTTTATGCAAGAGATCTGGTTACCCATTCCACAAGTTTAATTTTACCTTGGGTACCAGAGTTCAATGAAATAATGTGGTGTTTATGATACCTAGAAACATGTTCACCTGGATTCTAAAATGATATGGCAAATAAATTATTATCATTAGTTCACCTCCTTTTTTTTATTAGAAGTCCAAGTTCATTCCTGTATTATCTAATCGACTAATTTCCTTTTTCTATAAAAGATAACTCCTGCACCTATCTTGGAATACCTATTTCATGTGTCCTGGGAGACTTTACAAACATTCATAGAAATGGGCACAAACATGGCACGAAAAAGAACACGTAGACTCAGAGCACCAAACTGTTGAACACACAGTGTTGTCCCATGTGGGGATCGAACCAATAAAATTCAGCGTAGAAGGAAGCGGCAAGGTGACGGCTTAAACCACTACCCATCCGTACAGTAGTCAGTGTTTGTTACAGGTATTATAAAATAGCAGTAGGTACATCCACAACATGCGTTATATGCGTACAATTTCATTGTGTTAACAAACTGTTGTGTATACCGGGGAGATTCTGGTGAATGAAAACAGCTTTTCTGCTTCGTTCAAACACTTCTTTATTTCTAAACTTACAGTCACGCGCCACAATGGCTGCACAAGGGATACGGGTACACACACCATAGACACAGAAAGCATAGGGACCAGAAATTCTGGGTTGCCAGCTATAAGTCAAATTAACACAAACAATTAAATAATAAATAAATAAAAATATGTTTATTTCCACCACAAACGATATAATGTACAGTGAATTACAAAGATTAGTGCAAAAATAAAAGTTGTAGTTTGAGGTGGACTGGAGCCTAAACTAGGTCAATACCTGTATTTCAGGACTTCAGGATTCATACCCGAGAGGTTAAGTTAGTCGATGTATTGTGGTGCGTTTGAGTGTGTGTGTGTGTGTGCGTGTGTGTAAGTAAAGTTTTTGTGCTTGTTTAAATACAATTTAAATTAAAAATATAGGAAATAAAAAGTCAGTTCACTTATAATTAATAATGTTACATAGCAAAAATTCTATGTCCTTCAATAGACAACAACAAAAAGAATAATTCATAGCTCCAGACTAAGAGCGGTTCCGCACTACGTCCGATCGGAATCCGTGATTTTGAGTTTCGAAGGCTGACTAACTGACTGAATTCGTATATTGTTTACGAACTATTGCGTTATTTGCTTTGATTAGTTCTTTCGATCATCGTCAGCTTCTGGCAATGCTATTGTACGTAGGAACGACACGGAAGAAGTAAAGAATTTTGAGTGCGTTCATACAAATAATAGTATGGCTACTTTGGTCCGTCAATATTTTGTCCGAAATGGAGATTCACGAGTAACGGAAAGACTGACGAAGCGAATGACTAAACCGACTTTAGTCATTCGATTAGTGCGTCGGAGCTACCAAAGAAATAGTTCTACGACTACTTCGGACCGTATTTTCACGGATTCGAATCGGATTCTAATCGGACGTAGTGGTCGTAGACTTCAACACTTTTAATCAAACTTCAGCCTTATTATTATTACTATAAATGGAGAAGGGGTGGGGATGATTGTACATTAAAATCCAAAAAAATCTATATATTTATTCTATTATTAGCTAAAATATCTCTGATATGGCCCATCACGTCTGCAAGCCTTGTGATCTCTGAACGTATTGTTTGCAACGAATCCACCATACGTTTACTATTTTCTAACTTTTCTCTTTCCAGACGCAGAAACTCTGACGCTTCATCATCGTGATCTGAAAGTTTAAAAAAAACATCTTGTATTAAATATTTTCTATTGTTTCAAAGAGCATGATAATATTAACAAAATAGTCAGCTCAAGTTTTAGCGGTTGTGCGCACCATCGCGAGATACCACGTCATTCAAATTTAACTAAAGTCTATCCGCGTTAAGAAAATAGTGGCGCAAATGTATTTTCGTAGTAAAGTATTAAACATCCAACGTTGACTGTAGTATGATCATATCGTATTGTAACTGAAAATTGAATCGATAATCTGCTAGGCTGAGTAATACTCTACTATTTTATTACGAAAATATCTTTTGTGACAGTTGTGAGATCGAAAATTGATCGGAACTGAATTGTGATCGAACTTTTATTACGAGAATTTGTCTTCTGGTTGCAAAAAAATATCGTTTCATATGCAAGCTGTGGAACATTGTGGAATTTGAATCCGGTGAAGCTCTGTTTAGAGCTGTTGGTTGTGTTTAGATAGCGCTGTATAATAGGAATATTATAATTTACCTGAGTCGTCAAATTGACCATTTTTATCAGCTGTTTTATGCTTCTTCTCAAGTGGGGTACTAGGTCCACCGTGATCGTCCAGGTCTACCATGTGATCTTTTGAATGACGCCTTTTATGTCTACTGGGACGAGAGGGTGCACCTGTAACCATAATGATAAAAATTACGTTTATATATATATATATTTTAAAACCATTTAAAGATTTTTAACTGACTTTACACACAGGAAAAGGTTCTCAATTCAGCTAAATTTTTCTTTTGTTTGAAATAACAATTGAATATATACAAATAACAATTCAATATATTTAAATTGTTTTTTTTTTACACGACATACGTTTATATATTTTTTACTCTCACAAACTATCAAGTGATGTGTTGGCCTGTTGGTCCCCGTATACCATAAAAATACAAAATAGATTTACAAATTATAATTGTTTGTAAATTTATTCTTGAATGTTATTGCAATATGTAACCGTTCAATGAAATTAAAAAAAGTTTACATACTGAAAACAATGAAGTACATATTTAGAATATAACTACTATAATACAAATAATTAAGTATAGAAAGAAGTTAAGTATAGCTTAATAATAATGGTTTCATACATCTTACACACAGCCGTCTGATTCGCCTGTGCTATGGTAACCAGACTGCTGATAAACATTATTATATATTTCTAAATTCATACATATTATATAGATAAATTACACCCAAGATAAATTTTTTTTACCAAGTCAGAATCAAGTGCAAGAAGTTACGATTACCATTTTTTTAAATGTGATCATATTTATAAATATCTACTTACTGTAATACTGATTAATAGATACATCATCATGATGGCCATTATTGTCTTCTTCCTCTTCTTCAGAATCCTGAAATAATATGTGTATGAAAAAATTTACATAATTTTTATTTATTTAGTTTTACAAATAACATTATTATAATATTGAAAGTTGAGGGTAACATTCTTGTTGATCAGCTTTAAAAATGACAATAGTAGTTGACAAAATGAGAAATCAACAAACCCCATCTGCCAGTGGATCACTCTTGATCACTACACTGTCAACTGCATTTTCACCGATAATACTTAATATGGTTTCTTCCATTGGAGACAAGGGAATAACTCCATCGGGTGGTGGTCTATTGTTGTCTTTAGCTGCTTTTAACTCTAAGGCACGTCTCCGGACACGATACTTCCAATCACACCAATACTAGAATTTAAATTATAAATTAGTTAATCCAAGTGTTATGTTAATCCAAATGGCAGTTATGCCCGTTAAGTTTTTTTTTCAATCTCCAACAATGGCAACATATATTTGTATATAAATAGTTAGTGGTGCAGCACCATCTCTTAAGTTTCATATTTCACTGGGGATGTTAAGTGTGAATTACTAGAAGATGCACATTGTTCGCAATATTAAAAACTGAAAATAAGAGACCTAGACTTATTACTAGGCAAGAACTATAAATTACTTCAGAATATTTATATAAATTACTTCAGAATAATTACTATGTACTCCAGGGTAGCCAACATATAATACCATCATAATAATAAAAAAAGACTTGCAAGTAACACATAACATATAATTTATAATAAATTCCTTCGAGTCTCAACATATTTACAGACTCCACAAGAAACTCATGATAATTGAAATCATGTGTTTCTTGAGTATTGCATGTCTGTTAATACGGTTTAGTAAAGTTACTACAGTTCCATATTGAAAAGTGAAGTTTATTTGTAATTTTCACTATTCAATCTGGAATCTAAATTAATTTCTTTGATTTATAAAGTATACTGAAAATGTATTGACCATTGATATACCTTAGACCAACCCTTCCCATCTTTAATAGCTCCATCCTTCACAGCATTCATTTTCTTAGCGCAGAGGTTCCAAATTTTTAATGTATGGAATTTACCTCGGCGTCCTCTGGTAAGTCCTTTTGCCAGCTCCTGGTGTTCTTTAAGGAAGTCTAACAGAGATGTTAGCTGGTCTAAATTGACTTGCCTTCTTTTAGAATCTTAAAAAAAATATACAATATCATTATTAAACTTTGTTTTTCAGAATTAATTAAAATTCATATAATATATCTAATATCTACGAAATCCTTATACAGTCTACAATATACTAGTATATTTTTTAAATAATATGTCTCGTAATTAAATAATTTAATAGTATGACCAAAGAGTTTTTAATAATTTATCATAGAAAAAAGAAATCCAGTGTTTAGAACATCATTTTGTTATAATAGATTTTATTATTAACTATTATTATTATAATTAACACGTTATTCTGTGTATGTGTATATGTGAACTAACGATGCAATAAAAAAAGGCTTGCCTGTATCCATCTTGAACAAAACTTATAAATGCTCCGACTTTTTAAATCATCGAGATGAGACACCAAATAAGTTTTTGTTTCTTTAGGTAAAGTAAAATTTTATACACATTCGAATAAAATAAAATATATTTCATATTATTATCGGTTTGATGTCGTCTCGAAAACCATATCGATCACCAAGATATTCAACATTTTCGTGAAACTGTTTTACCGACAACCACACATGCGCGTAAAACAAAATGCGCGCGCATTTTAGTGGGCTAATTATCGCAATAGCAAAACCTTTCAGCGCTTTCATCACAAAAAATCTTAAAATATAATCAGATTGTAAACAAAGAAGAAAATTTTTCGATTGACAGCCGAAACATTAAGCCAATAAATGACGGGATCTAATTGCCACTGTAGAAAATTAGATCCTAGACAGGTAATTACAAAACATTAAAATATTATCACTCATTTATCTTGTTCCTTCATTAATTTTAGTGAAGTATGTTTTATTGAATGATGATTGAAATATAATCATATAACAAAATATATACAACTGACAATTAATGGGATATTGATACTATCAAATCAAAATGAAGGCCTAAGTTCAAAAAGCGCTGAAACGGCTAAGCTTTTAGAAGGCAAACAACAATGTCATCTCGGTAAATATTTACTTCCCGCCCAAATACATGGTTAAGCGAATGAATTAAAAGTGTCTTACACCCTAAAAAAATGTTCTGGTGAAGTGTAATATTTAAATTGGTAGCATAAAAATCTTTCAAGTCGTAAAATTGACAAGTGATATATCGACAGAGGTTTCCCAATTTTTCCGGCTTCGTCACTAAGCTTTAAAAAGCTCTTGCGATAATGAAAACGGTAATAACATTTATGTTGGACTTCCTTTAAAACGAAATAAAATGGTATTGGAAACTTTGAAATTGCTGAGAAGGGTAAGTTTATATTTTATTTAAATTAATGATATAAGTGCATAATAAAAGGAAAAAATAGGATTAATTTTTATTGATGTAGGTACCAAATATTATATTGTTAGTCACCTTGATGATACGTTAAAGATCTCAACAATAAGATGCTTTTACATATTTTTAACTTTGACATTTCAGAGCTTTCAGGTTAGTGATAGGTACGAACCTACCTAATAAGTATGTAGTCTTACGTTATCTTGTCTTATTGATTTTTTTCGATGAACCCAATCGGCCAAGGTGTCCCTTATATTATATTTTTTCAAATATACGAATGAGGGATATGTTGTGATTGCGTGGCCATTATTACCGGCGTGTATTGTGCGACAGTTGCGTCCTTGTTATATGTGTATCCTATTGTCCTATTTACTCTTTGATTTGTGACATTGTTAAATAGTAACTAGTTTTATGTATTCTACTCTGTAGGTACTTATTATTCATAATTTATAGTAAATCAGAATCGAAAAAATTAATATAGGTAGATATTTAAAAAGGTACGTATTATTTTACGTCAGGTAATATAAAGACGTAAACAAGGTTTGTTTACACTTTGTTAGTCGACATTTCATTTTACCAATAGATATCGTCGTACTATTTAAGTTTAAGTTGTAAAATGTAGTGGGAGTCTATTAAATAATGTGTGTCTATTAAATACCGTAATACATTATTAAACAAAAAAATATAAAGTAAGTTATTTTCATGTGTAAAATATGTGAAAAATAGAAAATAGTTACCTATTTTCTATTTTTACTATTTCGTGTCGCTAACCCAATAAGTAGGTAGGTATATACTTGTTTACATACTTGTTTATTTATGCGTTTATTTGATTAGGTCTTACATACATGATGATTATTGATGATAATTTTTGAAATACACTGACTGGTTTCAATAAGGTTGTAGTTTAATGTGGATGTGCCTAAGTACAAATAAAACACGTTTTACGAGTATATTTATCTGCATAATATGGGTATTAATCCTTTTTTAGTAAATAATTTAAGAATGTTATGTATCGTTTTAGTTTAGAACATGAATAGGTACCCCATACTAAAACAAATTGTTTATAACGTAGTCTCATTAAAATATGAACTTACTCCAATTAAAAACACAAAATATTACACTGGTATATAACCACAAAATAATCCATATTTTGGATTTTCTTAATACTTTCCATAGACTACATACATAGATACAATCAGGGCGGATTAGCCATTTCGGGGCCCTTTGGCGATGCGATCCTCGGGGCTCCTTTTACCTAATCGAAGATTATCAGCTCCTTGTAAGTGAATGAAGGGTTGTGGAAAGGAGGCAAACCCATTGCAGTCAACTAGGTACATTTATTTCTAATTAAGTTACTTATGTGTTTGTAAATACATACATATTGAAAGATTACACACCGACACAGAACAAATCATCGTGCTCATCACACAATATTTGTTCTGGGTGGGAATCGAGCTTAGCAGTCAGGATCGCTAATCACTATATATCAACGGGCCGTGGAAAAATATTTTAAAAATATTGGGCAATCTTTTTAAATATTGTTTTTATATCAAGCGGCAACAGAGCTGTATACTCACAGTACAATACGGTACAATTGTAATACGGTGTTTATTAATAACACAGATACAGTTAAGAGAATCATTTTGGTCTCTATTTTACTGTAAATTCCAAGCCTCGTAGACTCCGGAATGTCTTCTTTAGCACTGACAATAAATAAATATATTTTCTTTACCAGTCTTCTGTAGTAACTTTTTCACAAAATATTAAATAATTACTTGAAGCTAAGATTAAATTTGTCAAGGGATCCACGTAATGTAATCACGATAGGTATCACTTTCGTTCACTTTCTACAATTTTACGAACCGCGAGTCTAGTGGTTAGTGACCCTAACTGCTAGTTTAGTAGCCGGAGGTAGTTGGTTCGATTTACGAAAATATATTAAAAATGATGTAATTTATCTATAATATGTGTATGTATGTATTTTTACAAATATATAAGTATGTTTATTAGCCGGCAGGCTATGCCTAATTTGGGACCAGACTGACGTGTGTGAGATGTGCGAAGATATTATAATTTAAAAAAATGATTCTCCAAAAATAGAAAATATGGTGTAACAACAACAACAACACAAATGATTAATCACTTTTGTGCTCATTTTGTACAACATTGTTACTTCTAGTACAAATTCAGCTACTGACCCAGTCAGTTTTACATACTCCCTAAAATTAAAATAAACCTTTTTTAATGTTCTGAAACGTAAAAAAAATGTTTTTTTTTTGGTATTATACCATTCATGGTACCATTGGTACTATGGTACCATTTATGGTAACACCTTCTTTGAACCTTATTTTGGTATCTATATTAAATAAAAAATCTATATTAAAATTCGAATTTAATACGACGGCATATAAATTACTGGATAATATTATGAATATGTCAGATTACAAAGCATTGCATGCCAATATTGATTGATCTGCTTTCAAGCATAGCAAGCTATTACGTGTGTAGCTCTAGTGTTGAAACTCGCCCTAAGTCAACATCCACACAAGAGGGGAAGGGGCTAGAATTTTAATACCCTATTGGCCTTAATATCAGTTCCTTCAAACGTAGTTATCGTAATACGAACTTCAAGCATGCAGCATGTTTATACAGTCGCCTGAAGGCCTTCGCGGCGGTCGCGTGTGTCGTTTTCCGGAAAATTCCTTTCGATTTTCCTTACCTTATCGAAGTTTTAAATTTACCAAAATAATGTGAAGACTTTATTTGTCAATTGTTTTTATTGTAAAATGGAAATAACAGTTGATGTGGTAAGTCAAGAAGTTGTAGATAGGTAGTATTTTTTAACATATACTTAAGTGCTACTACTGAATCTTCTACTAGGTAATTAAAATACAAACAAATTAGATAGCACATTAAAATTAAAAATAATTGAAGTTGTTACCATAACTAAACCGTTTTTAGATCTCCTTTACTTTTATTAATAATTAAATAATTTTTACTTTCATTACCTATCCGATTTCAAGTAAAGTTAACTTTGTTTTCCACAATCTACTTTAAGAAAACAAACCTTTACATTTATACTACCTATTACAACTTATACTATTACCTTTTTTAATTTATAAATATATGAAAAAGTTGTTAAATAGGTAAATATAATAGGAGTAAGCGGCACTGGCGTATTCATCTTCTTATCAATAAAATAATTTTCTTCAGTTAACTTCAAGGGTACCTAATACCTTTACGGACTATCAACGCTTTGATAGAAGGTGTCAGGAAATCTTCATTTATCAGGATGATACAGAAAGTTATAACAAATTTTAGAATCCGCGAATAAATTGTGATGTAAATAGAATAAATCATACTTTTGAATACAGAAAGAAGTCTTAACTTCAATAGTTCGATTTGTTCTTGAAAATTCACCGATAAAGCGTATTTTGTTAAAAAGAATGTTTACATCTATTAATTATGGGTAAATAAAGACAAGGACGTTTATAGGTCACGAAATTTTCTAAAAAATTATAAAGTGCTCTTGAATAATTTTCAGGAACTAGGAAAAGCATTTCAAAGCAAAAGCAAAAATGTAATATACCTTATAATAAACATTATATACATTATATTATATTCACAAAACAAAAAGAAATCAAAATTATTTTTAAACGACCATATCGGCCACGCATGCCTTCCTAAATTGTAGCGTCCTTTTCTGTATATTCGCCTAAACATAAACTTATCTCAAAGAACATGTAAATGGGATTAAGAATGGTAGGGCGGAAATTGCTTTTCAACTTATCTTAACGCTTTTTATCTTTTGTCATTAGAACAGATCTAGAAACGCATATTCAAATCGCCAAAATTAAATTTATTAGTCATGCCGTTTCTGTGTTAAAAAAAAAAAACAAGAAATGTTGTTTATAACTACTTTCTTACTGGTTTGCAATTACTTGCATTAATAATATTTAGTATATTCATAGAACTACAATTGAGGCTTTATCATATTTTAAAAATAAATCAAACTTGATATGTTATATTTTGCCATAGCCATATAGCCATGCCATATATTTGCCATAAGCACTATACTTCTTTCTGTCATGCATGACCTCAACATGTCCACAAATGTGCATAAATATTAAATAAAGAAATAATATGTTCATACCTAGATAAACTTATTGAAACACCTTGTGCTTAATGTACTTCTTAACATACTAATACTTACTTCCTTCTTCCATATCATTGGGTACCTAGCACGAGGAAAAAAAACAATACTTGTCTATACAGGAGCTCTTTTCCACACAGCCTTAACCCAGTAACTTTGACCGTTTAATTGATTTAACATTGAGATCTTTAAAAATACATTGGTAGGTAGGACATTCTCATTCGAAATTGATCAGTCAAACTGCTGTCAGTTTAACTGGCAACCCATACAAAATATTGACATGAAATTACGAAACCGAACCTATATTTATCAATACTTTTTACTGTCCGGTGATATACACGCAAGCCTGCTCATATCAAAATTATAGATAAGTTCGTTAATACACCACGCCTCTTCAATTACTTTAACTACTTGCTGATTATATTTTTATCAGAATTCTCCGAAAGAGACAACACGACTACCTACGATTGATGAATGGATTTGTCTTTTTGGTTGTTATTTGTTCTGTTCTTAGTTAGAACTTGGTTAAAAAATAAATTACTCTAAAAGTGTGTATTCTGTAAGGCATAGGCATATATAGGCAGTTTGTGTTCATTTATTAAGGACTAGTCGTGACTCGCGTGTTGCGTGTTTTTGAATTTTTGAACATACATTTATACAACCTTTCATCCCTTAATCTTTCTAAATAGAAAATATTGAGATTGAAAATGATACAATTGAAATACAAAAACAAAATAGTGCCAAACAATTACGTTATACAATTAAGGGTCTCTTAAGTGTTTCTGAGAGAGTTGACTTCTATTTTATTTTAATACTTAATGTTTAAGAGATATAAGGAACGTATAAACGAGATCTTCATCAAAAAAAGCATTATGAACTTTTAAACAAGTAGGTATTACAGACTTCATTGCGCCTACATCATGACAAATTGTAACATTAAGTTTTCTTCATGGCTTAATTGTCCACACTTAGGTGTAGTATCAAAATCAAATATTAAAAATAGACATATAATAGTTCATAAATGACGTGAGTTCAGAGGTAACAAACAAAAAAAACTCCTTTATTAAGCTGGTTAAAACAATACAAACGAATCATAAATCTCCTTCTTCTGAAGTCGGTTTAAAACAGGTTGTAACGAAGAGAGAAATCTGAGAAGATTATATGTTATACATGACCAAGGCTATACCACTTCATATTAAACGTGCATACAACCTTGAATATAATTTAATATTCGCTGCATCATATAGCGGGACCAAATATAAATTTGATTTATTCATAATTACTTCCAATAAATTAATCATACAAAAAACTACTCCTAATGTTATGATCCACAGATGAATGTGTCAAGATACACTGGTCTGATTTTCTTTAATGTCCTATGTCCACTTGATGGGGCAGAGGGCGTCCACAGCAAGTCTCCATCTTGACCAGTTGTGAACTTCGTGCTTAATTTCGCTTTACGTCTTGCCATTGTTCCTCGGCTTATCTGCCACTGTTCGTCGCCAAGTTAGCCTTGGACAACCACGCTTATGGGTTTTCCTATGGGTTCCAGTCTAGAGCCTGCTTGGGGTGGTCTGTGCATGAGAGTGATTTATTAGCTGTACTCTCTTTGAGCGCAATCAACTAATAACCAATCCCATAATATACATATGTTTTCAAGGTAGGAGTTAAAAAAAAAACAAGGTAGGTTCATAGTTGCAACGTAAACAATAATAGAATAACTTAACATACAGGTGTGTTGCTACCGGATGTAAGTGCTTGTGACTGCTGCCCAGTACCTGTCATGCCATTTATGGTAACACCTCCTTTAACCGACCTTTAACTAATTATGAACCGTAAATTCAGGACACTATAATGTAAACTTATAATTGTGTACCAGCGGCTTCTACTGTAAATGCAGTTCAAGACAGGCTAGGCAAGAAGCGTCTTTATATGCTCGTAAATATATTAAATTTTTATCCTGTTCTTTTTGTTTAATAACAGATGAATACCTAAATTGTGAAAAATATATATTTTAATAACTAGAATTGTTGAAGGTTCACTACATCTACTTGATATGTGATAATATTTCCGAGTTGTCCGAGTGCATTGCTGCACTGATAAAACCCATTTAGACTGCAAACGCCTTGGCGGTCTCTATTTATTGCTATACATAGTAACATAGATGTAACACGTAGCCTCATAGTGTAAAGTTAAAATTTATAACCCGTATTTGACTCATACTGTGTTCGATCGGTATCGCAATGTCGATTACCCGAGGCCGGCGCCATTAGCCTCAGCACACCTCACTGTGATTTGAATACAAAAAAGCCATTAAGTGCTTTCTTACTGTACCAGTAAACAATGAAATATTATAGTCGAGACTCCGTAATGAATTGATAGCTTTATTGTATAGAACTATTAACATCCAGACGTCTTAACGACGCGTGGACTGATCGTAAATACTGACTATCCATACATATGTACCTATACGCAGAAGAATATTATTTCGATATTTATTTATGCAGGTATCATATAACAAAAATGTAACAAGAGGGTATTTTTCCAAAATGACGTATAATTTCAAAACTGTTAATAATTTTGTTAAAAGAGAAACTCAGTTTAAGGCTTAGCACATAATTTTTTTAGTGTTACGTACATCCTTCTCTTTCTCTCCACATTTCTGTAAAATATATTGTATTAAAGTTATTACTGAAAAACTAACTCATAGTAGGTAAATCGTCTTTCTAAACCAGGGATAATTTTACACTCGTAGTATCTATAGTTATTGAAATGTGATAAATGCTTCTATCAATTTGATCGAATAATAGACGTTTACAATTACTATAGAAATAGCATTAAAAAATCTTAATCACAGTAACCGCGGCAAGAATTTCAATCTAATGGAAGAGTTAAGCTAGTTTGTGAACACTTCAAAAAGTTCTTCACCGATTGAGCTCAAATTTTGACCCTCTTTTTTAAGTCAATTTTATTTCTCATTTCTCATCAATACAACCACAATGTTCCACAGCGAAGTGTGGCAAGGTACGGCTAATATTTTATAAATTTTAAATAAAAGTAAGCAGTGACACTCGAATGAGATTGTGCTGGCAAATAGTCATAAAAACTAGTTGAGAACCAATGGTTTCAGATTGTTGGATATAAAAAGATTATTATATTAATTTGATAATAATAGCTACGAACGTACAATAAATTTGGCATGAGAAGTGGACACGATAGGACATCGTTTACGAGTTATACGACTTTAACGGTAATACTAAACTTGACCGTTTTATATCATCGTCAGTGATCTTCTACACATCACGTACCTAAATGTATATCAAGCATGTATACACAGTGTTAGGGAAACGTTCCCGACAGTGAAGACAGAGGATAGCACTAATGATGACGATACGGTACGACGACGATTAGACGATAGACCTTTGATTTTATATAGGAAAGCAATTATATATAGGTACTGCATTTTTTTTTTAAATAAGCTTAATATAAAAGAGAATGTCCATATTGCGTCACAGGTACGTTAACACCAAAATTAATGATTTATTTATGTGTATAATGTACTACTTTTAAAACCTATTTTTTAACCAAATTTAAAAATATCCTACAAGGGTATTATCAATTAACTAAAACTTACGCAAAAAATGGCAGATCCGTCAAACAATTGTGGCTCTTGCCTCGTCGAGCAAAATCTATGATATGGTTAACGTTTAACTATGTAGTCTTAAATAAATTGATGGGACATCAGACTATGGCCAGCCTGTAAGCTTCTGCTTATAATTCTACAGCTGGGCTGGTGTCGATACTTTGATTCTAGAGGAGGTGGTATACTTTAGACGTTTCCACGTCAAACGCTATACGAACTTTTATACTCGTAGTAATTTTTATAAAATTGAATTGTGTAATATGCAACTCTATATAAGGGTTAAGTTGGTTTACTTATAAATATAAGAAATATTGCGCTGTATGACGCCTAGGTATGAGAAGTTTTTAAGAAAAATAGTCTTGATTAGCTATGTGCATACATTGTCAAAATCAAAATATCTCCATTTCATTTTTTTATTATTTTCAGTCGTCTCTTATGTGTACTCTAAGTCATAGATCAACATACACAATAGCACCAATTTGTTTGTCAAACATTTAGCAATATAAATGTATACCTATAGTAAATTTATTATATACCCGTGCCGATCTACAACCACCCGTTGCCATGGGGTCGAACCTTATGAGAAGATAGGCAAACAAACTCACGGCCACTCTTTTTTAATTACCAGATAGATACAATGGCATCATTAAATACTTAGACTACTTTTTATTTTAATATTGCACCGCTAGTAACGAGATAAAGAAAAAAGATGTAATTGAAATGAAAGTGAATTAAAACATAAAAAATTTAAAGAATAAGAAGGAAAACCCATTGGTGAGAAGGAAAACTTGACACAAACCCTATATCAACCCGTCTGGCCTGCGTGGTATAGTATGCCAAAACCTCCTTTCTAAGGAGTCCACTGCTGGACATAAGCCTCTTATGTCCAGCAGTGGACTATTAAAGGCTGTTGATGTGTAATGATGTGAATACATCTTTAGCAGGCGAATACATCCTTACTCTCTCAGGGCTTAATTCTAGTGTTAAAATCCTGAAGTAATATCTTAAGTATTTGCAGCACACGGTGCACCCGTGTTCTTCTGGTATCAAGGAAATAAAGAAAACTCCTATTGGAAAGGGACATTGCGGCTCTTGGTGTACGCCCGAAGCTACACCAGCCCATAATGTGTAAGGAAATAAAAATAATTGTTATACTTATTTTCCTCCTCGTTGACCTTTTTTTCTTTTTTATTATTTTAAATACAATAATATTTTATGTAGCTTACAAACATCACTCGTAATAAGACTTAAATTTAGTCGCTTTTAGAAGAATCTAGTATAAAGCAACCCAAATATTTTCACGTTCAGATAATTACATAAATGTGTAATTTGCGCCTCTTAAACGATTGTGGCGTAGTGGTTTAAGCGGTCGCCATGCCGCTTCCTATTACGCTGAGTGTTGTGGGTTCGATCCCCACATGGCCACATGTGTGATTATGTGATCCACAAATTGTCGTTCTGAGTCTGGGCGTTCTTTGTGTTCGTTTTATGTATGTTTGTAAAGTTCTTCGTGACACAGGATATATTCCTAATGCGGTTGTCTTTTTTAAAAGAAAAAAAAAACAAAGAAAGAATTTATTACTATTACTTATCCAAGATATTAAATAAAAAAGATTAATAATTGTTTACATGACTAATTTTACACATGATTACAGATTAACACAAACGAATTCGAATATCGAGACAAAAACAAATTTACAAGAAGATGCAAAACAAAATAAAGAAAGGTAGGTGAACTTTTATGAGTATTGTTTACTAGAGTTTATATCATGACAATATATAACTTTCAAATCAAATCAGTATCTTTTCATTTAAACATCAAAACGATATACGCGGTACGTCGGTTTTTGTATGAAATACTTTGGCGTGACGTCATACCCACCTAATTTCAAATCATTTATAAATATTTAATCTTCATTTTAAGATATGAAATTAATAAAACCATCAAATTGATAATAGAGGACAATTCAAGCTGTACTTTAAAGTGTTACATTACATGATGCATGTGAAATAATTTATTTTAAACCTAGGAATCTATCCTATTGGCGAATCCAGCAAAAAGTAATCATAACCAATTTAATCATACCAATTCATATACAAATTTTAAGCCAACAGCAAATATAGGAAGATCGGGCATATAATTTTATTTTATAAACCAAAGCCAGTGATAACGTTGAAGTGAATAGGTAAACAGCAGTCAAGCTATATAGCATCCTCTTTTTCGAATAGAGTATTTAGGACGGGCATAATGCTGACTCTACAACGGGAGGGTTTGGACTGCGATTATATGTAATAGCGGTGAGCGCTGACCGCAACGCAGCTGTGTGATATTTTCTGTAGAGTACTCACTACAACCATCTCATGACGGGTCAACGTCTTGCCCTGCCCGCTGTCTGCCCCAGCCATTATAAACTTTAATAAATTAAGTGCTACAGAGTATTCCATTGAAATAATTTAAAAAGATTGCGTTTAATGATTTTCAGCATTGTCATTCATCTTCAAAAAGTGAAGCTATTTTCATCAAGTCCACCGCCCCAATACATTTCTATTAATGATATAACAGAAGCTGATACTGAACTTAAAGATTTTAAGCCAAAATCGGACAAAAATTCACCGGAAAAGTAAGTATAAAGGGCAGCTTGTATTTAAAACTTTTGTTGCCTAAATGAAAGCGATGAAGTTTACGAATATACTTTAGACATTAGACTAACTTATTCCAAACATGAACAAAAAAAATGAACAAAATACCACTATTTTCAGAGAAACATCGTCAGACGAAAAATCCGACTCAATAGTTGAAGCACCGCAAAGTCCAGTGCCAATATCTCCTAACATTAGAAAAAAATGCAAAGGCTTTTTAAAATACTATTCTATTTGCGAACCTTTCATGCCCATAGACCCTCAAGGTAAGCGGTAAATTGTTTTTAAATTGGTAAAATAGCTGGCCCCTGTTGGGCGCCAATTAAGTGCCGAGACAGTTGTTAAAGAAACATTACGTCTTTTCTAAGATAATCAAATCGACATTGAGTTTAATAGATTCAATTTCAGTTTTAAATGTCTTAATATTTTATCATTACTGAGACATTAAGAAAACTCTTAAGAGCAACAATAAAACTTATGAAATACGTCTCACCCCAAATTTTGTATCAGCATGTAGCTGTTTATTAAATATAAAAACATTTGCAATACTCTGAATGACATTCGTCTTTAAGATATTGCTATTAACAGATTAAACGTGTCATTTTCAATTGCATTTCTTTTCCATTAAGTGAATATAGTCGTATATTATATTTTAATGACTTTGTGCCTCTGCTCACAAAATATCATTATTTTTCATTCTCCGTTTCATTCTTTTTTTTTTCATTTCATTCAAATGAGTACTCAAGCTTTGTTTATCGACATAATAATTTTATACGACGATGGTTTTAGGTCGAGTATACATCAGTTGGCTCCTACTAGTAACATTTTGCTACAGCTATAATGCTTGGTGTATCGCACTCCGCGCAACTTTCCCTTACCAGACCCCTGAGAACACACCCCTGTGGATGACTGCTGACTACTTATGCGATATCGTATACCTGTTAGATGTAGCGCTGGTGAAGCCTAGACTTATGTTCCTCCACGATGGATTCTGGGTCGATGATACAGAAGAGACGAAGAAGAATTATAAGAAGAAACTACAGTATAAGGTGAGTGCAGGACAATCTAGTTTCGAAAGCTTTTTGAGGATTATAACATTAAACGGGATAATTTAAAAATAGTTTCGTTCATTTCTGGAAACGACGTCGGAGTTGCTAATTTGAATAAGTCTTTAAGTTTTGATAGATTGGTTTGATTCTTCAAGGTCTTGTTTTGTGCTTCATTTGTCAAAGCTGGGATTGTCTTCTATACTGTACTCTGTACTGTATCAGGGGGTGAGAGAGCCATTGCTACATAAATTCAATGTTAATAGAGATGATCAAAATGTCTTTTAGCATCTTAGCAGACCCAAGTTCTGAAGTGGCTAAGTTAGTGGTTTAAAAATATGATACTTCTTATTCAATGATTTTGCACCCGTAAATATTAATGTTTAAATAAGCATTTTCCAACATTTGAAGTAACGAGATTCACTTATCCAATAAATAGCCCCTAAATAAAGAAAGAGAAAAAAAGGCATTGGAGGACAAACAGCCATACTTAACAAACATACTTAAAATGATGTAAAAAAAACAACAGAAATTTGTTTAAAATATTCCGGATGATAGTTTTGGGTAAAAGAAACATTGACAATATCCCGTAATTAAAGATTCGGAGAAACTGCAAAATACACTTACTATGTTACGATACTACGTGTCAGCTGTCAAATAGTCCTCAAAAAAAACTCCGGTCGAGCCTGCCGTTTGTACCGTAGCGTGGCTCTCCCACGTATTCAATTTGTTGCAATCATCATTTAAAGTGTTTTCCTAATGTCTTGTTGCAGTTTGATGTAGTATCCTTACTCCCACTGGACTTGCTTTATATCTACTTTGGCACCCATATGGTAATCCTCCGCTGGCCCAGGCTGTTAAAGTTGCAGACCTTTTGGGAGTTCCACCAGGCAATGGATAGGGTACTCTCGTCCCCATACGTGGTAAGTGAACTATATTTAGAGATTAGATATCCTCACTCGGTTGTTAAACTTCGAACAATCTAATTGAGTATCTAGTTTTTACGAGTATTCTTTTACTAGCCTTTGCCCGCGGCTCCGCCCGCGTGCACATCGGTTATCACGATAAAAAGTAGCCTTAGTTACTCGCTGATAAAGTAGCTTCCGTTTGGTGAAGGAATATTTAAAATCGCTTTAGTGTTTTAGGCGTTGAGGCATGAAAGCAGAAAAAACTTACTTTCACATTATAAGAACCTAGCTTTTGCCCGCGGCTCCGCCCCATGTATATCGGTTATCGCGGTAAATATTAGCCGATGTTACTCGCTGATAATGTAGCTTTCGATATGTGAAAGAATTTTCAAAATCGGTTTAATGTTTTAGGCGTGAAAGCGTGCCATCGGAGTGGGAGTTCTCTCGCTCGATAGCCTGATTGCGGCTATCGTGCGGAGCGAGAGTGTGTGGAACTCTGCCGTCTCCTTCTGCGAGCAAGTTATGGTCGCGAAGGAGACGGCGGAGCGGGACCGGGAGAGGTTTAGGACTCTCCCGGCCCGCCAGCCCGGAAACGGGCCAGGTACCGCAGGCGACTCAGGCGCCGGAGGTCGCAGAACGACCTCCGTCCTCCATAAGCGCAGGCCTGGGGGTGACAGGTGAGGCATCTGTCACCCTAGCAGAAGCAGGCCGGGGTGGCGGCGAGCGCGTTGCGAAGCGCGCTCGCTTCCATGGAGCACAGGGAACATGGGGTTCCCATGGGGGTCGTCTACTCGTCTGTAGATGACCCGAGGTATGTCGGAGCACCAGGGACTTCCTTTCTAGGGTATACCTGGTTCCCCGGCTATTAGTACCCGAGACGGCGTGCGGTTTTAGTCGGTTCGAGTCCGACATGCCACCGACAGGTATCCGAGGGGATTTCCGCACGGAAAAAAAAAAAAAAAAAAAAAAAGGCGTGAAAGCGTAACAAACAAACAAACTCACTTTCACATTTATAAGTGTGAAAGTATGGATATCTAATGCTTGTATCATTCCCATGGCTACGTAGAGGTATGGTTTCTTGTTTCACCTATTACACATTTTTGAGCAGTGTTATTATGGCAAAACCTATTGCTATTGCCTTCTTCTATGCAAATTTTCAGACTCCGTGTTGCTGCTAAGAATTTTCTAACAGAAATATCCAATAACAATTTTCGTGAATCAGAAGTAGAACTTTTATTTTCCTGTTGTAGGTCAGAATTGGCAAGACACTTTTCTACATCTTCTACCTGATTCATTTAAATGCTTGTGCTTATTATGCCATGAGTAAATACATCGGCTTGGGTTCCAACGGCTGGGTCTATGACAACCAAGGCAATGCCTACATCAGGTGCTTTTACTTCGCGACCAAAACCGCTACTTCGATTGGGAAGAACCCTAAACCTGAGGACACTAAGGAGTATCTGTTTATGACGGCCGCCTGGCTCATGGGAGTTTTTGTGTTTGCGTTGCTCATTGGACAGATCAGGGATATTATTGCGACGGCTACGAGAGCAAGGGTAAGTAGTATTGTAGTGTACTGTTTCTATGTATGTATAGTTGGATAATTTTCAATTATTATATCTTTCCTTCTTTTGCGCTTGAAGTCAGTCTCAGTCAAGATTTAGTTAAGAATTCCTCTTTATTTTATTTCTCATACATATTTGTTATCTGTTTTTGTACAAGTTTTGACGACCGGATGGCGTAGTGGTTTGTGTAACGGACTGCCATTCCAAAAGCAGCGGGTTCGATTCCCGCTTAAGTCAAACATTTGTGTGCATGAACATTTGATGTTTGATTTAGTCTGGGTGTTTCTATGTATAATATGTATGTATTTACAAAACAAATGTATTATATCAGTTGTCTAGTATAGCATAGTACAAGCTGCTTAGTTTTGAACTAGATGGCATTGTGTGAATGTGGTACAATATTATTATTATTATTACTTATTAAGACATACGTACCCTCCTAGCTTGCTCATTCCATGGAAACACTACATTTTTCGGGTTAAAAGTGGCTTATATGCTATTTCAAACTATAACTATATCGATGTGTAATTAAGTAAAACCATACATCCTAAATGAATACAAATATTACTCGCTAAAGTCATGAACACACTTATAAAGTAAAATTATTTAATTATATAAATGAGAAATAATTTGACGTATCACATAAATACTTGGCTATCTTGCCATTACAACAAATATTGTGTGATGAGCGTGATCATTTGTTCTGTGTCTGGCTGTAATTTATCTATAATATGTATCATCAATAATTATCAACAGCCTATAACAGTCCACTGCTGGACTTGGGCCTCTCCTTAGAAAGGAGGTTTTGGCCTACTATACCACGCTGGCCAGACGGGTTGATATAGGGTTTGTTTCAAGTTTTCCTTCTCTTTTTGCAGTGCTGTTGTCATGCGTAGTTTGCTCCCTTAGTTGGCTCTTACGACACCCACGGTGTGAATAGGGGTGGTGACATTCCGTATTCTTAATCCGTCACCACACGGACATAATATGTATGTATTTAGAAATATATGAGTATGTTTATCAGCAGTGTGGTTGCCATAGTACATGCTCTGCTAAGTTTGGGATCAGACGGCCATGTCTGAGATCTTATTATTACTATTTATTTAACTTAACGCTATAAAATCAAATATATATAAATCAGGTTTTTTCAAAATTTAATGGTGTCGCTATATGTTGGTTAAAATCATCATCATCATCAACACCGTTATTAGTCCACTGCTGGACATCGGTCTCTCCTTAGAAAGGAGGTTTTGGTGTTGGTTATAATGATAAAGTAAAATTATTTTCTTCCAAAGACTGAGTACCGTAAAACACTGGATGGGTGCGCGCGCTACCTCCGGCGCTTGAACATGCCCAACACGCTCCAAAGGCGAGTCGCGCTCTGGTTCAACTACACCTGGAGCAAACAACGATGCTTCGGTACGTACTTATATTATTTGTTTATTTATACGTATAAGTGATATTAACACTGTTAACGAGTGGATTTTACATTATTTACTAACACCTGCTTTCGCAAAAGGGATAGGCAGAAGGGTATTAAACAACACATTTTATTGTAATTTGGTTCCATTCGCGTAGAAAAGGCAAGCCTACTGCTGCCAACGGGGCATTTTGGGATAAAAGTACAATTTGTACTATAATATATAATATGTAGCAAATGTAATAAAAACTGAAGAGAATCGAAAAAAAACGGGTAGTTCTTATTAACTCGAGCAGACCACATATCTGTAAATCAGCATGTATTTTTGTATTAGAGCTTTATAACAACTGGTAGATTTTCTTTGATAGGACAAGTAAAAAAGTAAATCCTGAAAATAAATCATTTGCCTGAGGAAATAGCTTCTGAAGGTATACAAAATCAATCGAGATTTTTTTTATTGCTGACGGTAGTCAGTTGAGTGTTGCTATAACGAGAGTTTTGGCACAGGCACCGGTGTTGCTACTTTATAGAACTGATAGTAACCACTACCTACCATCAGAGGGTCGTCTGCGTTATGAGTAAAGTGAGGTAGAAAATAAACTTGCTTGCCACAATTAGTTAAGCCCGATAGTATTTATCAAACTACTCACATGTATTAATTTTCTGAAATCTCAGCTTGTGACTTGAATAGCCTTTAAGGAGATAGCTGTGGGCCCATTGATATGTTTGCAGAAAAAGAATATAGGTACGCGATCTGTAATAGTTTTTGTAGAAAGTCAAATATAAACAAAAAACATGGAAAATGTCTTATATATGGCCATTGCTATTCTACACTATTATATACTCTTTCTCCAATAAGTTTTCTTACTTACTTCAATTTACTGACCCCATAAATTTCTCTCAAATTCTTGAAACGTTTTATCCAAGTATTCTATTCTTAAAATCATTTTGAATTCATTTTTTTAAATAAAAATCACTTGTTTATGTACTTACAGATGAATCTAAAATTCTGAACTCACTACCGTTCAACATGAAACGTGATGTAGCACTTGCAGTACACATGTCAACGTTGAGCAAGGTAATACTACTCGTGTTACTATAGAATTGAATTGAAAGGAATGCATTCCTGAAAGGTTTTTTTATTTTATGAAATAGGGGGCAAACGAGCAGACGGGTCACCTGATGGAAAGCGACTACCGCCGCCCATGAACGCTTTCAACTCAGGAGTCGCAAACGCGTTGCCGGCCTTTGAGGAAGGCGTACGCTCTTTTCTTGAAGGTTTAAAGGTCGTATGGGTCCTGAAAAAATCGCAGACGATAACCCATTCCACAGATTGGTAGACAAAAAGTATCTCGAAAAACGCACAGTGGTGTAGTGTCAATTATGTGTACTCACTAACACACACAACACACATGCTTGCGTCTCCTCTTTAAGCTCTAAATTGACGACTTCTAATCTTGATTATGTCTTTTAGGCATTCTAACCTTATGCAATATATGTGAGTGAGTGATGTTTTGTAAGGAACTAGAATATTACATTGGTCTGCTATTTTTCTAAGAGTCCATTATGAATTTTTACCCGACTACACCAGAAGAAGGGATGAGTGAGGGTTTTGGAGTGTATGTATATAATCTGATATGATAGTCTTCGACTACTAACTAATTTTATCCAATTTTTTTAGTCTTATTAAACTGTCTATTAAAAAAATGTTTAAATCTATTATAATTTACCTTTACAGAAAAGTGTAACCCTATTGTATGTCAGTTATGGTCTTACGCACGTGAACCTTACGTGTTGTACAAGTCATTATTAAATGTATTGTATTTCAGGTACAACTGTTCCAAAACTGTTCGGACTCATTGCTCCGTGACCTAGTGCTACAGCTGCGTCCCGTGTCCTTTCTACCGGGAGACATAGTCACGCGCAAAGGCGATGTCGGCCACGAGATGTACATCATTAGCTCGGGAGAATGTTTTGTACGTCAATTTTTTGTATTATATATCTCTAATAAGTAAAAAAAATTGAAGTGTCTGTTTGTAATGACAAAATAATAGGTTTTTATGCTCACGCGGTTATTTGCACGATACATATGCCTAAAATCCGGTTTAAATCTTATTTGTCTGTTTGTCGGTTTGGTCAGGGTAATCTTCAAAACATCTGGAATGATGTTAATATTTTACCACTAGATAGCTGTTATATAAGGTGTAACTTAGGCTATTTTTCAGAAAAACCCTAAAAATGTTGACCGGTCATGCAATCGAACCCGAGGCCTCATGTACTGCAGACGCGTACCGTACTACACCACTAAGGCAGCGCTTTTTATATTCCACGCGAACAGAGTCGTGGGTACCAGCTAGTCTCTAATAAATTTACAGTGATTTAAAGCATTTGTTTGAGGTGACTAAAACAGTAGGCTTGGTCCGATATTAAATGGACATATGATCAAATCAAAGAATAATGTCCATTGCCAGTTAGACTTTCAAATCAAAAGTGCGTCAACTTTACAGTTGTTTCTTGTTAGAATTACCTGAATTTTTGCATTATTTATATAAAATATGTTATATGTTGTTTATTAATATATATGTATTAATAAACAACATATAACATATTTGTATATAACATATTGTATTCTACAATACTATGTCTACTAATATATATATATATATATAACTGTATATATGTCGGATATATATGTATATATCGGGTGTTGCATATTTTTTAATTTTTATTTTGTATCGCCTACTTTACTTACATATGTTTCTGAACGTAAACTAGCTGTCATCAGAGAGAGTTGTCAAAAAGAATGTGATAAAGGGAAAAGATCGTTAAAAGTGCTGCTAAGATATAATAAAAAAAATATAATAATAATAATAATATCCGTCCCATGTGTTACTTAAACCGAGTGTTGTGGATTCAAACCCGAACCCACAACACTCGGCGTAGTAGGAAGCGGCGTGGCGTTTAAACCACTACGGCATCCATCCGCCACGTATTAACTTATATCTGCCTAACACGTCTCTAGATTACCCACCTTACTTAATTTACTTGCAGACTATGTTATTTTATATTGCATTATATTATAATACATATCATATTTCAGGTGATGTCACAGGACGAGAATGAGGTATTAGCTACGTTGCGAGAGGGCTGTGTCTTTGGTGAAATAAGTTTGCTTGGTATTGATGGACTAAGACGAAGAACTGCCACTGTGAGGTAACTACTACTAATAAGTATTAATTTACTTTTAATATCACTTTAATAGACTACCAAAATATGATACCAATATAGGTAATTATTATTTTTATTTAAGGTAACCTAAAAATAGAGAAATCGTGAAATGTGAAGTCCCATGTTGGGCGCCAAAATTAAAATACAAAAATTTGTAAGACACATTAGTATTTTCGGCGAAATAAGTCTTTATTCATTAAAACATATTTCTTCCTTTGTCCGCTGAATTCAAGCATTGATTCAACATGATTTATATTTAAAATAGTTTTCACTCAGTAAACTGTCATAATACATTACATTGCTGGTAAATTTAGATAAATTTTATTACTTTCGAGAAAACTGAAAGGCATATGACAATTAAAACTACCATCAGTCATGTCAGACCAAAGTCTACGAAACAACTATAATATCTCTTTTTTGGGCTCAAAGCCTGCGAAACAAATATACTATTTCTTTTTGCGACTCACAGCTTGCGAAACAATTAAAATATCTCTTCTTTGAGCCTCCCATTAGTAAAATTCTACTTTAGTGCATTAATTAAAATCATCTCATGGTAGATCACGGGGCTACTCGAGCCTCTTCGCTCTGTCCAAGAATGATCTCGACGCAGCTTTGAAACACCACAAGGAAGCTGCCCAAGTATTACGTATAAGAGCTGACCAGATCATTCGAGAGAATGCAGCGAGGTCAGCCAAGCAACGGATAAAGTCCGAAAACAAACAGCTGAGCATTCAGACAGACAGCAGCTCCACGGCCAGAAGAAGAAGATCTTCTGCATCCAGTGGAAGTTTAGCTGTGGACGGGAAAAGGCCGCGTTCGGCCAGCGCTCTGTCAAGAAGGAGGCTGTCTGCCGTCTCTGAAGTTAATAAGGTATTCTTTTATTGATTTATTTACTTACTAGCATTAAAAAGTTGCCTATGTCCTTCGGCAAGAATCACACTATCTCCATACCAAATTTTATCTAAATCGGTTTAGCGGCTATTGATTGCCCATACAAATTTCAACCCCTATTTACACCAACTTAAACGGTTTTAAAAACTATTCTATGGCAGTTCCCGAGACTCAAACTATCTCCATACCAAAATTTCATTTAAATCGGTTCAGCGGTTTAAGTATGAAAAGATGACAGACAGACACACACAATTTCACCTTTATAATATTAGTATAATTTGAATTAGCTTATTAGTAAAATTATTTTTTTCCATCCCGTCTGAAAATTATTATTGTATAATGAGTAAACTTATGTTAAATATTATTTTCTTTGCATGATATTAAGTTATTTTGTTCATTTCTGTAAATTTTTTGTGTATATTTACATTTTCTTTAATTTTTACGTTCACATGACTTTCGTTGTTGTGCATATATCACGTCCCCCACCCCCACACCATGAAAAATACTTGAATTATTTTATTTCTTAAAATAGGTTCAGGCTGGTTTCTTTCATGAGCGACGACGGTAATACATTTTACAACTCTAATGCTAGCTTTTGTTCTCAGCCATCATCACGACCTTCTTTAGTATCAGCATGCGGCGGGGCTCGAACACCGTTACCCAAGATCGTGTTATCCGGCGACTGAACACCCCCAACGCTTCATAATATGCCGTGTATACGAAAACAAAAAAAACAAGTAAAAATACATGAAATAATTGCATTTATTACTATGTTTATGATTATAAAGGCAAGTTCTTTGTCGTTAAAAATAAATAATATATATATATGTACATAATTATATTGTAAATGATTTAATGTGGCCCTTAAATGTAGATAAAAATGTGCCCCATAAAAAATATAATTTCTATCGTTTTAAACCATCTTGAGTTAGAGGCTCAAAACTAGTCAACACGGCTCGTGTAAATATGTGGTATATTTGGCCAAAGTATTTTGGCCATGAGGATTTTCCCGCGCATAACACAAGTAGTGTTATTGCAATCTATAAGCTTATATGTCATTCCATGTTTTATTATAAATATAATGGACATCGTAAATACAGAGGAAAAAGGGACAAATAAAAAGTACAGTATATTTATTCTTAACCCAAGACCTAGGCACTGATTTGACTATAGTAAACGATGACGTCACAACTCGCTATTTAATGCATTTTTATATAAATAACTTTATGCTATGTTCAGACCACGGCCGTTAGTCGCGAATATATATAACGTGCCTTAACAAGTACAGGAATTATCATTGAAGATGTCAGACACTTTAAACCGGAAACCGATTTTAAGCAATTTATTCGTACCTTTTTAGCCAGGGACTGAGGTTACCGTAGACCCAGAACTTCCTCTCCTCCTAATTCTGCGGAAAGGGGAGGGTCGCTTGAGGTGCAGGTGTCCGTGGGTGGTCATAGTCACTTACCATCACGTTACCCATCTGCACGTTTGTCTGTTACACAAAAAAACTCGTGTACTTGTTAATGCTCACTCAAAGATCATTGTCTAAACATAGCCTCAACCACGCGTCATTGCATCATTACTATCATTAGAGTAAGATATAGTATATGTCCCGAACAAAATGAGACGCAGCAATCAGCTTTTTTTACTCTTTTTAGGCTGTTTTAAGAAAGAGTTATTATTATTGCGTGTTTTTACTTATTATGTTATGTCATCACCGAGTACCGTACTCGGCAATGATGGTTTTGATGTTTAATAAAATAGAATTGAATTGACAATACCGTACTTCTAAATTGTACCTACCGAAATATCTACCGGATTTTAAGCAATAAATAAACTTAACTTCGTTTAAATTCTATAAAGTGATTTATTAGATCTTTGTTTTGTCGAAACTTTTATTATACTCGTATGTGTCGTGTTAAAGGGCCGTACTTCCGGGCATTTGCCCTGATTTTCTCGAGGTATTTGCTCACACCACACAATCCAATATCCTTTTACTTCTATAGCCTTCCCATGTTTTCTTTAAATATATTTATTTCTTTATTGTACACCACTGCGGTATTTGTACAGATATATATTTAGATATAATAATATAACAATAGGCGGTCTTATTGCTCACGACGATCTCTTACAGACAACCTTTATACGGATATTGTCAAATTTAAATTAGGGTAGGGTACTATTACAATATATTTTCCAATTTTAAATTCCAAAGGTGCCTGTTTCCCGTAACAAGGTTGCCCCTACGTGAGCATCTATATTTTTCCAATTATTATGGGGTCCCATTCATATTATAATTGGAAAAATGTGAGTGTTTTTCAGAATATTGTTCCAATCATAAAACTGTTCAATTTTATATAGAAAGTATTTCTGTTCTTATAATAAATATTAATGGAAGGACTATACAACTTGACTGAATATCATACAAGGCTGCGTCTCATTTTACTTGTGAATAACGAATATTTTTTACGGGAGTTTTATAAACGAATATCAATTGGTTTATTAATAATGTCAAAATTAGCTCAAACCATGTCTATTTTTTAGAATATTCTTATTTAAAAAAATCCTATAATTAAATTAAAAAAGAATTGTATGTTTCGGAAATATAAATGTGATTTAAATATTGACTTTTATTTCGTCCAATTGAAACCTACGTCCTTGATTATTTATTTATTTAAAACTTAATGCACATGTTGTACAAAGGCGGACTTCATGCCCTGAGGCATTCTCTCCCAGTCGACCTTTAGGTGGTGTATAAATATGATACGGTAAGTGCAAAGATAAAGTGTTAAATTTGTGGTAGTTCATGATAGTTTAGTAAATGAGCGATAAACCTACATTAGATATGACTATACTAATTTACCATTAAATTTTCTGCTATTTTTTATTTGTTTGATAGTTGCTGTTGAAGCAGTAATCTAATTAAAACAGTCCTTACAAGGGCATTTTGGCAATTTATGTTTGCCTTCTCGACATTATCATAAATGTCTGACAACATTTTACTATAAATATGTTTTCTTCTTCAGTAGCTGTTCGATCACTCGGATATAAATAATTACAAAATAAAAGTGATCAACACACAGGTAACAATGTAACACTCAAATAATTTTCTCTTGTACTCCTGCCAGAAGGCAAATAGGGTGACCACAGAAACAAAGTTCCACATCACTCACTTTTTTTAAGTTGCAATAGTAATTTGTACGATACAGCTCAGTAGCTCAACGTGTCACCTCAACAGGCTATTTCTTAAGTGGAAATGTAGTGTGGGCTAGTGTGTTTTTTATTTTATTCTTTCATTTTTTATGTTTTACTGCACTTTCGATTCTATTCTAGACTGGCCTGTTGGTCAAGTGGTTAATGACCCTGACTGCTACGCCAGAGGTCGTGGGTTCGATTCCCACCCAGGACAAATAATTGTGTGATGAGCACGGTCATTTGTTCTGTCTGGGTGTACTTTATCATAATATGTATGTATTTAGAAATATATATGTATGTTTATCAGCAGTCTGGTTACCATAGTACAGGCTCTGCCTAGTTTGGAATCAGACGGCCGTGTGTGAGATGTGTAAAAATATTCCATTCTTATTACTTTATCTTGTTTTCTTTTCATTGTTTTTCCCTTTTAGTACCTACTTAACAACTGACATTCTGGCGCACGCATGACATACGTCATCTAGCTGTAATAGCAAAAAAAAGTGGCCGTGGTGTTCAAAGTTTTTGACAGTCCATGGAGGGTCGTACTATGCATCAGAACGCATAGTGCGACCCTCCATGGACTGTAAAAAAAAACTCATCCGTCATCTAGCTGTAATAGCAAAAAAAAGTGGCCGTGAGTTTTTTAGCCCTTTCTTCTAATAAGGCTTAACTCCTTGGAAACGGGCGGTTGTAGATCGGCACAGACAATCATCATCACATCAACAGCCGTTGAGCCGCTCTCAACGGCTGTTGAGAGGTATACCTCTCCTTAGAAAGGAGGCATAGATATTTAATGGATTAACTTCATTTTTCTAAACATTTTACAAAACAGAATGTTGCTGTTGTGGGTGTGTGTGTGATATTCTATGAGTTTAGAGTCTAAGACGATTTCAAACAATTTTTTTAAAGTTAGTTATGAAGTAAATATATTTTGAGTTTTTTTTTACAGTCCATGGAGGGTCGCACTATGCGTTCTGATGCATAGTACGACCCTCCATGGACTGTCAAAAACTCTGAACACCGTCTAGATTCTGATCCCATGGTGTAGCTGGAGCATGTAGACTGCACGTAGGTGCGCTTGCGGAAAAATATACGCTATGATAAAATTGCCGAGATCCCGCTCGTCTCACTTGCCTTATAAAGAGACACAAATAGTGTCTACTTGTGTTCATCATCATCATCATCAACAGCCTTTACTAGTCCACTGCTGGACATAGGCCTCTCCTCAGAAAGGAGGCTTTTGGCCTACTATACCACGCTGGCCAAACGGGTTCGTATAGGGTTTGTTTTAGGTTTTCCTTCTCTTTGCAGTGTTGTTGTTCTACGTAGTTTACTCCCTTAGTCGGCTCTTACGACACCCTCGGGATGAATAGGGGTGGTGACACTCTGTATTCTTAATCCGTCACCACACGGAAGACTACTTGTGTACAGAAAATTATAATAGTGCACACAATAGTTTTCCAGATCTAGTCCCCAGCAAAAACTTAATTATCATGGACATCATAAAGGGCACGAATTTTGAATCCAGATAAGTTGACGCGATTTTTTTTTTGTTTTGCTAGAGTAACATTACTCCAGCAAAATCTTATGTTCTTGAATAACTGTGAAGCGGGCACATATTTAAGAAGTTGGGCACATTTATACAATACAATACATTTTAATTTATACAATTTATACATACAATACATTATAACATAGGGCTCTAATTATCTGTATCGTTCAAAGCCTAAACACAAACACCCAAAAAAACATAGCTGTACCTATTTATCGTGTAATATAAAGGGGACAGAATATCCTCTTCCAAAAGACTTGCGGTAAACTCCAATGCCGAACTACCAGACATTAATTTAAAATATTTATTAGTCCTACTTTAGTTTTCACATGAATTTATAATATTTATTAGGTCTACTTTAATTTACGCATCCAACTTTAACATTTAATAACGAATGCCCGAATAGTTTATAACACGATCTTTATCAAAGGGTGAAATGAACTTCTGCGTCAGGGTTAGGTTAATATACACACGTGATTAAAACCTTTTGGCCTTTATATATAATGTATTCGTCCATGATTAACATAAACACACAAATATTTGACAAAACAGATTGCTGCTATTGTGTGTGTTTATCTATGACTTTAAAGTCTAAGACGGTTTCAAATATGTGTTTTTTTATTAAATAAATATATTTTCAGTTTGAGTTTAAACTCACCGAGGCTTCCTGTGATAGAAAACAAGTAACCCAAATCCATTTTTACTTCTATAATTTGATCTCACCCAAAGGAAAATCAAATTACAATTCTGAAAAATTATTTTTCTTTTTCTTAACAGCGTTGCATGCTATTGCTACGTTGCTACTAATAGAACTGACTCGCTGTAATTAAGTTTTCTCTAGAAATTTCGTATTTTTCACTTTTCGAGCAAATCATTAAGTTAAACGCTGACTTCCTTGACAAACTGATTAACTTTATTATGTCGAGCTTGCGTGCA